ATCTACATTTATCAACACAAACCATTCATCAAAAATAAAACATTTATCACTACTTTATCTTTGGGTAACTTTGATTTTAATTCCGTATTTTGCTCTCATTACTACTTCTGGATATTCTTCATACACGTGACCTTCCACTAATTCCACTTTAAATCTGGAAAATATTGTTTTTCAGAATATTTTTTCACTGAAATATTAACATACATGTATAAACAGGCCCTACGATTTATATTTGATATTTTTGCTGTACCTCTTTACTAAAGCAGAAATCATCACTTTTTCTTCATTCACTGCAAAATTCTGCCCAATGCAATTTCTAAAGGAAAAAAGGTGAATTTACAACGAGTCTGGCCATTAAGCTTTCCTGCGTACTATAATGTATCCGGTTTTGTAATATAATTTAGACGTGTTTCATTATATAAATGCACAGAATAAAAAAATAAATAAAAATAAAACAATCTTGTTCAAAGACAAAATTCTCTGTTTTCAAGGATCTTTGACCTTATATAAAATTTGATCAGTATTCAACATTATACTCTGAATTCGTTTCGTGGTGTTGCGTATTGTGGCTTAAAAACCAAAATGTTAACTTCTTTACCTGGATCCTGCTGAAAACGGAATATAAGTGTAAGGATCTCTTTCTTGTCTCGTCTCATTCTCAAACCTCGACGGTCGAAATTCCTACAATAACCGTAGTATATGTAGGGTAAGAGAAGCATTAATTTATATTGTCTTATACGAAGAGCGATCATTTTAGATACCAGTTGGGTAATATTTTCTATAACTTATCAATTGTCTTCCATCAGATTCATACTTGTCTCCATGAAAATGTTTACGTACCATGTGATCAGGCCAAACGTCAGGATGATGATTTATAGCATGAATTAAAATGTCTACTTGAAAATGGGCAGGAATCTCTACCCCATCTAAAACCAAGGGCTTCGTCAGCCAACGACTTATAAAAGGTACAGGACTGTGCATCCTCAGTACTTCCTTCAGAAACATCGAGGTGTACTTTAACTGATTAAGATCTTCCCTAAAGAGAGTGCGAAAATTTTTGATTAACCTTAAAATTTAAAACAACGTTTATTACTTTTGCATAGAATATATTGAGGAGCTAATACCAATAAAGCTAATGACGAAGTATCTGTCACTGAGTACATTATTTACCGGTATTATTCTCACCTTTAGCCTGAAACTTAGAGGATGAAATAAATAATGATTTGTAAAATTCCTTTAAAATCCTTTTTGTGGCACAATGGTAAGAATGTTTGCTCTAAAGAAATGTAGTAAGCATCTGATCCTTTACTCTCGCTCGGATTCAAATCCAGCACGAGAAGTGGAGGTAATAGCACAAAGAAGATCCCTCCTTGCTCAAATGTCGTTGGTGCCGATCATAATTCTTACTTTGCAGCCTTTCACCTGCAAGTGGTGGCATCTCAATATGTGTGAAAAATTCTCAAGGGGACACTAAACACATAAACAAAAGGGACATAAGGAATTAAAAAAAAAAAGAAAGCTGATGTCAGTCGGGATCTTCTCAACTCTTTATCTCCTCACCATGAGACTTGTGGTCTGCTGTCTAAAACTGACGTCACTTCTTGATAAACCTTTTCCTGTTCTTCTGGATACTTGGCTAAACAGTAAATGGCCCAACTTATGGCAGATGCTGTTGTGTCGTGTCCTGTAAAATGAAAATGATTTGATATCAGATACTAAGCCTTTCATGCCTTGATTTGTCATCGATAATAATATTTACCTTCAAAAAGGAAAGTATCCACCTCTGCCCTGATGTCCTGGTCATTTAGACCTTCACCATTCTCATCTTTAGCCGTGATCAAAATGTCTAAAAAATCTAGCCTTTTTCCTGCTGTCTTATTGATATCTTTTTCTGTCTAAATAATGTACTCATATTACAGACAATAACCAAAACATGCTCAAAAGATAACTGCAAGATAGAAATATACTTTTTAATACCAAAGCTTTCCTACGAGAAGCGATGATTTCATCAGCAAACTCGTGAACATAGTCGATGAGACGCTTATATTCCCTGCCACTCGGTGAGAGCCAAAACAAAACATCCGGATAAAGCCAAGGAGATCTTAATTATATAATAATAAAAATCATATGCATATGCATATGTATATGTCTTTGATACTATTTCATAATTTGAAATATAATGCAAATAAAGACTTACAAGGTCCTTTGAACAGATAGAGACCCCAGTCGTCGGACAGCCTGCACATATGGGTGACTATCTCTGTATAGATTGATAATGGTAATATTACTTTATGAACAAAAAAGTCTTAATGCTAAATACTGGGGAGGTTTTCATCTTACACAGTATAATATAAATCATTCAATTCACATTTACTTTGAAAAACTAAACCACATTCATCGTACAAGGGTTTCAAGACAACTTGGAAAAAAAGGGGAAAAAAGCTCGGAGTGGGGAAATTTCAAACTTTTATCAACATAAATCGACAATCTAATTACAATATGTTGTTAATTTTGACAACAAAACAAAATCTTACCCCTTTTCCTGTACCTGCCCGGTGTACGACAACGAACATCTTAACATGGTATCCAATGTAGCCAGTGACACGTGGCTGTAGATTTCTATCGCTTCCTTTGAATCACAAGCTTTTTGTACTTTTTCCTAATTGAAGTAAAATTTAAGAAATAACTACATGTATTGCATTGAACATGGATTTAGGAACTATGGAAAGAAAGATTTTTTTAAATTTTGAAAACTTTTGGACTTACGAGGAATATATTAGCGACGTCATTGTAGATCTGAACGTAAGGTCTGAGAATGTCAAAATGGAAGGCGGGAGTTAGCAGACGACGATTCCTCTCCCATTTCTTCCCGTCCGACAGCAATAGGCCGTCACCTTGCCATCAAAAGGAAAGCTTTTTTAACGGTGATTAGGTGAAAAAGTGGATGTGAACTGCAGAAAAATATCAGATGTTGTGATTTCTCTACTCCTACCTAACCAAGGCAAAATCATCCTGTAAACTCCTCCAAGGTTATATTTCACTTTTGGTTCAGAGGACTTAAGCAGGATTTTGGCCGTGTCGGGATGGCAAGTGGAAAACACAGGATATAAAAACATGACCCAACCGCAAAGGAGCTTTGCTTTAGTCTTCTCCACCATGACCAAAACCAGTTTAAAGAAGTCGGCCATGTCATTTACCTTTAAATAATGATGACAAAAAATTAAATTAAAGAGGTTGAAAGGTCAATAAATTCTAAAATATGCCAAGCAGACATAACTGGCTAAATCTGATATGATAAAACACCTGATATGAAAATATCTGCTTAAAAAGTAAGTAGAAGGTGTACACTCTGTCTGCTTTGCTGAGTAAAATAAAACGGCCAAAAGCAGCCATGAAAACGATTTGGCAAATCCCTAGCAACCCCCGAAGTAATCTGTCGAGTACAAAGACCATGAGGAAATTCATTTTTGCAGAGGAAGATAAAATACCATAATGTGTTTTATATTTGCAGTTTTTTTAATTGCATTAATATTTATTATGTGAACCATGTGGCTACAGGCTACATCATATTGTCATGTTATATTCCTGTTTTGTTTCTTTTCCCCAGTGTTTTAACTTTAGTTATTTAATTCATCACATCCTAATGTATATGTGAATTTGTGAAGTGTGATTATTATTTTCAATATAATTTTTTCTATCTCTGTTGATGTGTGACAATCACTCTAATGTGATTTTAATAGGATGGGAAGTTTAGAAAACTATTTAAGTGTTCAGAACATAATTAACTGGGAAGTTAGCCATTTAAGTACATACCAGATGCAAATTTCCCCATATTGGATGCCACGGTTCAAAAGAGGTGATCTTTGCAGTAACCTTGCTCCATTGTTTGTATCTATGTACATGCTGAATGATAAGTATAATGGAAAAGACTACTGCTCCAATCAGTAAGGTAAGTAAAATCATGGCTAAAAACTCTCTGTACAGATAAAAAAAAAAGTGACACGATAAGTTCTCCATAGGACGATTTCTAACATTTATCTGTTCATCGACAAAACATGGCAAACTAAAGCATTTTGATTTAGGATTAAATAACAGATACCTGAATCTTTGTATGGATTTATCTTAAAATATTCTTTAACAATAGAATGGATGGATAAACTCAGCAACACCTTTCAAGCGGATTAAGTTTTCCTCTTAAAAATGCACTTCAACCTGTAAACAATATTGTAAAAATACTGAAAGCTGGAAGTGTCATATAATTATGGTTTAAAAGTTTGGCCTCCTTACTTAATAGAGAACATGTTGTCGCTCAATGCGAGATTTTAATATGCATCTGATACATGTATACAAATTACATGTATCTTCTTTTAGGAAATCATATTTTGACTTCCAGAATATATATCTTTTTAAAATGTCTATATTAGTTTTTAATTTTTCTTTAAGCCTATGACAAAATTTAGAAGTTTTATGAAATTTGTTTAAAGCTTGTTAAAAGCCAAAAGCATGCCCTCTTTGGTTTTACATTAATTTTAAATTTCATCATATAGTCTTTACCTTTAATCCCACTTCAAAAGAGAATTTTCTGATGCAATGGAAAAGACTAGGGATGATGAAATACCCACAGCAAAACCTCGTCTAGCTTTCTCCATTCTAGGAATAGAAATATACTTAAACAAAATACTTAGTATTTTATTAAATAAAGACGCTCCTCCAAAATATACTATTGGCATTTAAGTTTCGCCTTAACCCTTACCCTAACCCTTAAGTTTAATCCAAATATCTTTACCCTAACCCTAACATACAATAAATTTCTATGTAACCATTCTCTTTCAAATCCTTCATCAGAAGTTGCCGTTGTAACCTTACGAACACTGACAACTGTCTAAAATAATTTTTTATTAAAGTTTGTTAAAAACTGAATATTTCAATAAAATATATCCAGGATTTTTTTGTGTCAGAAAAGATCCATGTCACAGCTCGGGCAATGCTGATGTATATTTTTACAATATACAATATCAACACTAATGGGCTACCGTACTTTCAAAAATTCTTGCACCACAAGAAAGAAATACTACAGACATATATAAAACTTGAGAAATAACAGATTGAATGTAAAATTCAAATTGAGTGCACGTGGTGACATGCCTGAATTCTGCAGAAACAATACTCTATTCTGGGTACGTGTTTGTGATTCTCACCTTTATTATAGTTCACGATGTGAAGTTATTATTCAGTATGTTACCTATGAAATATCAACATGTCTCTGAAATGTTATCAGTTAAGCGATAATTATTTGCCTGAAGCAAAATAAACAGGTCAATTGAGTCAAAATTTAGAACGGAAATACTTAGAACATACTGCATGCTTATTGAAAAAATCGGCTCACTATATTCATAACGAATAAATGAAAAACAAAAGTTCGTATCATCTATATATAATCGAGTATTGCGTTATTAATTATACTGGACTAGAACTGAATTCAATTAAATCACCTTTCTTTATTTTACAATCGATCAACCTCAAATTCATAAAAAAATGATATATTGTAATTTGCTAATTCGATAACAATACAAATACAAGTAACCAGAAGGAAAAGGGTGAAAATGAGAAAGGAAGAGAATAGGGGCGCAAGGAAAGGGGACGGAAGGAATGAATATTGCACGCCAAATTCACAAAAAATGAGCTAAACATAGTTTCACAGTCGATAAACTAGGTTTATCGGTTGTAAACTATAGTTTACGGACTGTAAACTAAAGTTAACAACGTCAATCTATATTTTACATCATTCTGTAAACCATAGTCAACGCGATAATCTATTTTTCACAACCGTAAACTATACTTAACACCGAAAACAATCATTTGCGATTGCAAAACATAGATTTTCTGATAAAAACAGTTTCACAATTTGTAAACTATGGTTTACAAGTCTTAAGCATAGTTAACGATCTGATAAACATAGTTTCACGATTTATGAAACTATGATTAACACCTCTTAAATATAGTTTACGATTGTAAATTATAGTTTACAAACGTGAATCTATGTTTATCAACAAAATCTTTTGTTAACGCTTTATTACAGACAGATAAGCTTAATTAGATTAGCATTCGTAAACTATAGTTAACAACCGTTAAAATATAGTTTTACAGATAAAAACTATAGGTACATGTAACGAATTGTTAATTATAGTTCAGGGTGTGTAAACTATAATTTACAGTCGATAAACCTAGTTTATGAACTGTGAAACTATGTTTAGCTCATTTGTGAAATTCTATAGTGTCGAACAATATCCGACATCATGATAAAAGTACCATTCGGTGAAGGCTGTGTCGTTTTTTGTAGGGCATAAAATACAATATGTTGGTCAGCTTCACATATGAAGTATTTGCAAAAGTCGAACCATTTAGATACCATTAAATTTCGATTAAATTGCGATTAACATTTCCGAAACTTTCGTTTTTTACCCAATTTTCATTATTTTTTTTAGGAAAACCTGTTACGTACAGTGTTTGAATAAGGCTGTATACTAATGACTATATATGGTTTAATCTGATTAACTGTACAAGTTACTTTGTCTACTAAATTATAGCTGTCAGGTAAATAAAAAATCTACAGCATTATTTCCCTATAATTAAAAGCAACTTTTTTTTTATAGAAAGCAAAATGCATGGCAGTTTTTAAAGAAAACCAAATCAGAATATATTATTTCTTCAGAAAACTGATTTGTTATCTTTAAATATGTGTTTTTATATACTTATCTACATCTGAGCATGTCATGCATGATAGCTTGTAGAAAACATCAAACAAAGGGACATAATAACAGGAACCGAAATAACGTGTTTTTGTGACTTTTTGGCAGGACTGGAATCTGACCAGAAGTGGGGAGCAGCCATTATTTTCTCCTTGCTTCCTGACCTCTGTTCCGGTCTGGATGATCCATGGCTGGATTTGGGTTGTCTCCCCTTTCTACATGTATTACCTGATCAGACAGAAAACAAGCCCTAATCCTCTTAGCTGGCGAATCATCCTAAAAACAGTAAGTAAACATTCAATAAAACTGAACAGGCAAGCTTTTTCTGAGGAAATATATGCAGTAGACAAATCTCTCTGAGTGTCAAGTGCTTGGTTCTATAAATTTATAATTTCTCCATTTGTCCCAACCCTAAGAAGAAAAAAAAAAAGAAAAAGAAGAGAATTTAAATTATCAATTTCTAAGTACATTTGTATATTATTATGTTCAGGAAATTTCATTTACATTCAAATGTATTAGCAATTGAATTTAAATTCATCTTTGATTTTAAGAACACATGTATTTTATAACTAATTTTCAATCGATGCTCTATTACAGTTCCTCCTCGTGGTTAATGTTGTATTGCTAATTGTGGAGTGGATAGTTGAGGATGCGTCTCTTTATCTGACACGAAGGACAGCTGTATTCAGTTTTACTCTTCAGATTATTACACTGGTAAAAACCTTAGCTTCAGACATGTTTAATATGCTACACGCGTATCACAGTAAGTAAAGCTTATGGTGCAGAAATACTTGGTCTAGAGTTATAGAAACATATGTTTCTGTTGTAACTGTATTGTTTGCGGTGAATAACAATAAACAGTAACACTTTCTTTTCACTGTTGTTACATCAAGGAAAGTTATACATTAAACTAAGTTTCCAAAATAAAAAAAAATCTACGAATTGTTCACTTTAATAATAATATTCTGACTCTTGTGAAATGCTTGGCCATATAGTTAGCAAATCAGGAAATAACATGCATATTCTTATGCATAAACCGTGCATCAAAATCTTCAATATGTGAAATAATTTTTATGAATAGTAGTATGATTTAGGGGTAATATAGTACGAAAATATAATGATTGATAATTCTGATTTATCATATGACAATCTATGTTTCACATATTTCTTTGAATTTTATCAGATAATTTTTTTTAATTTTTTTTATTTTTTGATGCGATTATGATACTGAATCATTGAAAAGCTACAATAGGTATTTTATATACTTGTATTGTAATCTCTTTTCAATCATACCTTCAATTTTTTAACAAAGTTATTGAACATTAATTCAATAAAAGAATTAGTGAAAATAATTTTCCAATGCTTTTTTAATATATGTTTGGTATACTTACATTCTTTCTGTTTTTCTAGAGTTTGGTAGGTTTCTACATTTACATGGAGCGATGGAAGGGCTTTGTCACTTCAGGAGTTTTATTCATTTACTGGACTGTAGCCATTATTATTGATACTGTCCCACTATATCACAGAATTCTCTTATCGGTAAGTGTTATATAAAAGACTATAAAAATAACATTAATAATTTTAACCAAAAATTAGTAATTATATTTTCTTCTTTTTCGTTTCATGAAAAGATCTTTAAATTCATGTCCTCCACTAAAATATAAATTTTAAATGTGTAGGAAAGCTGTATTTCTTCAATCAGGGAGTCAGGTTCCCTTGGTAAATTGATTGCAGGCCCGTAGGAAGCAATTTCAGTTTTGGGATTACACAGCCAAACATTTCAGTTGGAGGGGGGGGCACTATCAACTACCATAAATTCCTTGACTTGCCAAAAAAAGGTCATCAGACGTTTTTATTGAGTAATTTACTGGCAGATTTATGACCGATGGTCATAAAAAACTGTTATATGAAAAGGCGAAGTTAACAAACAGTGTTTGATATCAAGAACATATCTTCAATAAATACAAATCTGTTAACAAGAAATATAACACTGGCCACCAGAATCTCCACAGGTAGTACCTCCATGTAGAGTCAACACTCCCTTGTTGACTGATGACAACTGCCCTCAGCCCTACGTATTGATCTGATAGACAAATGACTAGTATTCTGTTGTCTAATTTAGTCAAAAAGACCTAACAATGTTATAAAACACATCAGCTAAAACACGACCCAGAGGTAGGTGATATTTTGTAACAATATCAGTTTTTTACCGACCTTAAAAATTTATGAAACGCTGGGCTAAACAAGACTTTTGAAATCCCTGCAACATCAACTTATCTTTCTTGACTTTAAATTGAATCTTCTTTGAGCATGATCTTGTGTATCAATAAAGTTGGGATTATGAGCGTATGCAGTTTATGGAATATTACTACGTTAAGGCCGGTTTACACTATGCATCTTGACACATGCATCTTGGATGCATGTGTCAAGATTCACAGTGTTGTTTCAAATTAAATGGATCTTGCATCTTGAACGATCGAATAGAACTTGTTCTATTCCGTGCTTCAAGATGCATGGAACTAACCAATGAAAAGAAAGGTCAGAGTTGAGATTGAATCATAAGCCTTATTTTCCTTCATAGTTACCCAAGATACACAAAAACAGAAAATACTGATTAAAACTACAATTAGAAAAACTAATTTGATTATTATAATATAGAGGGGTCTTTGTTTTAGAATGAATTAAATTTATCTTCCAGCATAATTTGTGTATCAATAAAGTTTTGAAGGATTATTTTTTGAAGAAGATAAATTTCATCTTTACAAAGTATTCTTAAGATGCATGCATCAAGACACATAGTGTAAATAAGCAGTTTTGATGGAATATTACTACGTAAGGAATTTCGAGGATGGAAAAGCTTATTAAAAAGAAATCTCGTTATATATAATTTAGTTGTAAGTTGGCCCATTTTCACCTGAAGGAGACAAAATATCTAGATGTAAAAAAGATGTGACAAACTCTGACGAATCTTTTATTTTGAGTTCACTGGGATATATCGACTCTGAATATTAATGAATGTATCTTTTATTATTGTTAAAACATCGTCGATACCTTTGAAAGTCGAGCTGAAGGGCTGTAATAAATTCTGCGTCATAGGATGGAAAATATGTCGGCTAATAAATTAACATAACCAGTGCTCATCAGAAGATTGTTGAAAGACTTAGTCTTCAAAGACAATATATCAATGTTGTCACTGAGGAACTCAAGCATGGTTTTAATATCATCTTTAGAGTACTTGCTTGAAGAATCAGTGATTTTTTACAAATAATTTTTTGACGGCGAGTCACAAATTATAATAAAACATATGGAGATAACGAATAGTATTCAAGTTCAAAAGTCTATAAAACAATACAAAACAGGAGCAGAGCAAACAATGACCTCAAAAACATCAGAGGTGGGATCAGGTGCCATGGAGGAGTGAGCATCCACTGCCGACCGGTCACACCCGCCCTGTACTCCTTGTTATGGTCAGGAAATAACGGAAAAATCCATCGTCGATTATGTGTATAAATAATGGACTAAGAATTGGTATGAAAAACGTCAGTCAGCATTTGACTCAATGATAAATTATATTTGCTGACAAGGTCATTGTATCGACCATAGAACTTATGAAATGATGACTTTAAACGAGACAGCTGAAATTCTTGTTTCATCAACTTGTTTGTCAAAAATTTACCTCGCCTTAGAAATTGGTCATACGTAAAGCATGCTCTTGAGTATGGAATCAACTGAGAGACATAAACTCCGTATGCATCTGATGAAGGTATATTGCTGCATAAGTAAAGGAAGTTGACGATAGAAAAGTTAAAGAAAAGTTTATTATAGAGCTTGGTTGTTAGATTATCATTAACGTCTTTTTCAAGTAAAATATCCAAATATGAAAGAGATGTGTCAGAGTTTGTGGTATCTTTTATCTCAAACTCACCAGGATATATCGTATCGACATAAGAATGGAAATAACAAGTTAATTGACAATACGTCGTCGATATATGTACATGCATTTGTAAATGTCGAATTGAAAGCTGTGCCCATTTTTTGTTGAAAAAGCAGTTTTCTATGAAATCTAAATAACAACTTTCTGACTTATCTTGAAGAATGCATGAGTGTACGCAATGTATAAAAGTAGTCCGTTTTGATGTGACTGACTTTTGAAAAAAATGTGATTTTGAAGTTTTCTTAGAATGAGTTTTTCTTAAAAAGGTTTAATTTTACAGAGTGTCTCCCACAATTTAAATTATTTTTTCAACGTTATCTTATTGCAGAATTATACTATCCTTTGTACTGTGTTGCTAACTTTGCTTTAGTTTCATTTTCTATGGAATTTATACTTAACTAAGTTGTCAGTTTCCCTTTATCATTACCAGGAGTATTCTAGAAGTCCTCTATCATTGGCCTTATTTTCTACGATCTATGGAATTCAGTGGATGCAGTGGATTTTGTCTTGTTTTGCTGAAATTTCAAATTCAAAGGATGTGGTAACATATTTGATTTTTTTTTAAAATTTGGATTAAATATAAAGAACAGTTTATTAAACAGTCATTATTTTATTACTCAGTCTTAGATCTTACTTGCTGATAATTTGCTCTTTAAACGAGTCCCAAATCTTCTTGATCTTAGATATACATGTAATTATAATTGAAAATAAACCAATGCTAAGAGTTGTTTCAGTAAACAAAAATGAAATTACTATCACCAATTTTATTAATTTTTTTATACATCCATTATTTTTAAATATTCATAAGTTTATTAAATGCATGTATATAAAATATAAATTCAAAATTTATATATTTTGGAATTTTAGTTTTTTACATCTTTTCAGGGGAATAGTCCATACTCTAAATCTTCCTTTCCCGTCAGGCTATTTTTCTCCTGGATATTTTGGTAGGTTTCAAAGTGGGCATGCCCTTTCTGCAGGATATCTATTATGATGACCTGTATTTAATAATCTCTGAATATCCAAAATGTTCACTATGCCTATACATTCAGTCAGGATTGGTATCCTCTAAACAAGCTAGACTCTGATATTAACTTCAAGGTATAGAATAAACTAGGTGCAATGTATTTATAAATATTTGGAGAATAATATTAATTTTTATAATTCATTTATGAATTATTAGGATTATTATCAAAGGATACAGAAGAACGTTAACACAAGACGACACATATCCCTTAGAATCTTATGATAGAGCTGATACCCTATTGACTAAGTATTTAAAATGCCGGAAACATTTGGAAAATAAAGGAAGGAAAAGGTAAGTCTACAAGCAAATTAAATAATCTGAAATTACAAAAGTATGTTTTTCCTGATCCCACCTCTGATGTGTTGGAGGTCCGTGTTTGCTCTGCTCCTATTTTCTACTGTTTTATGGACTTTTGATCTTGAATACCTTGAATACTGTTCGTTATCTCCATTTGTTTCATATTTAAACACAAATTTAAAAAATGAATATTTTATGATGGTCTTTACCTCAAGCAGTATTAAAATGAGAAAGGAACAGCCGACAAGGACACACGAAGATGCTGGAGAGTCTTTGCTTACAGAGGTTGGACAAACTCAACATTCCGATCACCATTTTCCCCATCAATCCCTTTTGATTATCCTTTTAAAACTTTTTGGATTCGAATACTTAAAGTTCCATCTACTAACTTCAGTCTTGCTAATTACTAGATTCACCAACATTCAATTACTCAGGTGAGAATACAAAAATGAAAAGCTTTAGTGGATTTTATATCAAGTAAAATTCCAAGAATGATAAAGGGAATACACTGTATACTACTGTGAAATTACAAAATTTCGCGGGAGTTTGATTTTCGTTGTTTTCGAGGTATGACGAGACCTACGAATTTATGTCCACCGCGAAATGTAAAATGTTACAGACATAAGTAATCATTAATTCTAGATTCACGAAATCAAATCCCCAAGAACAAAGAGATTTTCCTAAAACCACGAAAATTTGACCCCACGAAAATATATGATTTCACAGTATTATATAATATTCTAGAAACCCATGCAATAAATGCCTATTTCAATTATGTAACTTACTTATTTATGGACTCTCTCTCTCTCTCTCTCTCTCTCTCTGTGGACAATCTAGGAAACAATGTTCGATTTCTTTTAATTAATTCATTAGAATAGCTAAATAGAAAGGCTTCTAAGTAGTACCTCTATCTCCATGTTGTTTTTCAGCTTGCTTCTTGAGTTTATAGCAGAACCTGGAGCTAACCAGCTATGGTGGGGTTATATGTTGGCGGTATCACTTTTTGTGGTATCGGTGATAGAGGTTTTGTTTCACTATCATTCTATGTACACGGCCTGGAACCTGGGAAAAAGAGTCAGTGCTACACTTATGGCTGCACTGTATAAGAAGGTGATAAAACAAATATACTTGTTAATATTTCAATATATCAGTTCATTACTGGAAATTAACTTTATGACATGTACTAAAGTTCGAAAACAGGATAAAGTTCGTCTATGTTATCGAATACGTTGATGTGTGTCCTCTGTCTCACAATGCTTTCTTCAAATGATTTATACATCTTCCAAATATAGATCTATTTTACATCTGAGTACTAATTGACCATTAGCTATGAACCCTCTTACAAATCCTTGTCTATCCAGAAATGAGATGTTTGCATGGAAATGACAACCATTTTACAACCCATTTGCTAAAAAAGTTCATATTTCGCAAATATTATGATTAAAAAGTATAAATTTATCAACAGAACATTATGGAAGGAAAATTGCTTTTATTCTTCTCTCTGTTTCTATCTTAAGTGCCATTTTGCAAGTATGAAATTTGAAGCGTACATTTACAAATGACACATTTATCTTAATAGACACATTTCTGATCTTAAAGGCATTGACAGTAAGTCGCAACTCAAAGCAGACCTCTTCAGTGGGTGAAATTTTAAATCTGATGTCAGTGGATACGTCTACCATTCAAGACAACATGATGTTTGTTGGGCTATGGATCGAAGCTCTTGTGGAGATTATGCTGGCTCTTTATTTTTTGTATGAGCTTCTTGGATATGCGATGTTTGTAGGATGTGGGGTGATGGTTCTTTTGGTACCACTAAATGCTTTCCTTGCCTCCAAATCCTTTAGACTGATGCAAGAACAAATGAAAGTCAAAGACGGGAGAATTAACATTTTATCTGAAGTTATCAATGGTATAAAGGTATGTATTCAGGCTGTTTTTACTCTTCGTACCTTCTTAATTTATTCAATTGATTTCATAGTGCTATCAATTCATATTCAAATAGGATCCAAATATCACCATTTTTCTAGGTCTTGAAGCTCTATGCTTGGGAAATGACTTTTAAGAACAAGATCATAGACATAAGAAATAAGGAACTTCAAAAACTGCTGCATCTGAAGGTCTTTGAGCGAACCATCGAAACTCTATTTCACATAACACCTGTTATAGTGAGTATTTCTGTATCATATGTGGACTACCTGATTTGCTCACATGTTATCCTTGAACATGAAATTCTGTGTTGATGTAAACCTTTATTTCTATCTCTTGTAGGTGATATTTTCTATGTTCTTTACATATGTACACATCAGTGATAAACCTCTCGACGCCAAGACAGTATTTGTTTCTCTTTCTCTTTTTAACATTCTGAGATTCGCCATTGACATGATACAAATGGCTCTACGAAAAACTTTGAACTTTGTTGTGGCAGTCAAACGAATTAGCAAATTCCTGAATAGAACAGATATTGCGGAAGATGTCGTTCAAAGAAATGCCAAACAAGGTAGATCTCTCTTTTGTTTTCGTGTTATTGTTCCTTGTCTTTACTACAAATGGAAAATTATTGGTATTTTTAAAAATTATATCACCCTTTTCTATTTAGAGAAAGCTATTCAGATTAGAAACGGAGAATTTGCTTGGGATGACAACACTATCTTAAAAGAGTAAGTCATTTCATTGAATCAGTATATTCAATTCGAAATAAAAGACACCACAGAAAACCTGACACATCTGTTTCACATTTGACGTTTCAGTGATAAAAATAAGTAACAAACTACCAACTAAACTTTATGATGTATGGAATGCCTTTATTTTCTTTCTCGTCAATTATCTAGCCATATACCATTATCACATGTATATGGGCTTTTGCTTCCAAATTGATTTGATACGGAATAGTATGATATGTTTGCGATAAATTTCCAAATTCGAAACAGGCCACTAACAAAGACTGCAGTGAATTAATTCCACAAGGGCATCAACGACTTTGTAAAAAAAACAACGTAAAGTCAACTTCACTCCATTTCCACAGTCGATATGAGTATGTTGTTTGCAAATACAATCTACCTTTAGATCGAATGTTGACTGACGTTATTCATACAAATTTTCAAACTGAATTGTGTCTCTCAATTCACCCGATCATGAAAAGTGGCACGACTTATGTAGACTTTATGATAACACAAGTAAACGATATCCTGTGGTTACTTGCTCAATGTTCAGGCCAGAAAATGTCAGGAATTTTGCTGAAAACATGCTGCAAGGCCCTGCAAGTCTTTTTCCAGTTTTCTATTTTTCTCTTTTTCTACAATGAATATCCGAACATATATTTCAATAGAAATACCACCATCCTTGTCATGAAGTGTCATCATTCTCATTTTGAGTTTTTTTCATTAAGTGTGAATGTAGAGATCCCAGAGGGCCGTCTTGTAGCAGTGGTTGGACAAGTAGGTCAAGGGAAGTCTTCATTGTTGTCAGCAATCCTAGGAGAGATGACAAAAATTAGAGGGAGCGTTACCATTAAGGTCGGTGTGAGTTTCTACATAGAAAACATAGGAATTAAGTATTAAAAGTTTCACAACATTTTTATGCTAATTTTTCCCCCATATCTCGAATTTACTTGGCGTATCAGTAACTTGAATAACTTGAATAATTTGCCGATAAGATATAATACTTATCATAGATGTATTAATTAGAATTTGAGTTTTAATGATTTTTTTCTGTTTCAGGGATCTATTGCATATGTTTCACAGCAGGCCTGGATTCAAAATGCTACCATAGAGGAAAATATTCTTTTCGGATTCAAAATGGACAAGAAACGGTATCATAGAATAATTGAGGCTTGTGGTCTGACGCAAGATCTGAACACGTTTCCTGCAGGAGGTCAGACAGAAATAGGAGAAAAGGTTTGAGAAATACCGGTATCTACGGTAAAATATTATTTTTGCCCCCCCCCCCCCCCAAGCCAAACTTTGAAAATTATATAGTCTGTATACAAAAACCAAATTAACAAAAGATAATTATAGTTTGAAAGTTAATTAGCGGTTATTCTTGCCTCTAGTCTATGATGTCACATTTTGATTTTCCGTAATGTTCTCAAGCAGAACATAATAGAAAAGATAGGTCATATTGTTGTTTAGAATTTACTGAGTGTCATCTTGCTGAATGTTACAGGGAATAAACCTGAGTGGGGGGCAGAAGCAGAGGGTGAGTCTGGCCCGAGCCGTGTACAGTGACGCGGACGTCTATCTCCTGGACGACCCACTGTCAGCCGTCGATTCTCATGTCGGCAAACATATATTCGAGGAAGTCATTGGATCGTCAGGGTTACTGAAAAATAAGGTTTGTAAAAATGCTATTGTACATGGGAACAATGGTAAATCTTCACAAAAACTTTGCAACACTTGAGGCAGCTTGTCATTGATCCAAAGTATTTCTTATATGTTAATAAATATATATACTTACTCTTATTTTAGGTACATGTATTTCGTTATTTCATTGCGTCATGTTCGTTTTCAGACATGTATTCTGGTTACACACGGGATCCAGTGGTTGAATAAAGTGGATGAAATCATTGTGCTGGCGGACGGGAAAATATCGGAGACGGGCTCTTATGATGAACTTCTTAGTCATGCTGGACCCTTTGCAGATTTTCTCGAGAATTATTTGATAGATGTTGATGAAGGGGAGATAGAGGGTTTGTATGTTCTTTGGAAATCTTTCGTTTTAAGATTAGCCAACATTACGGATAGATTATTGATCAATGATAGAAATATAATTGTAGAGGAGATGCGGGTAAATGTTATACAGAGATTAACATCACTAACCTCCGACGACACCAATGGATCAGCCATTGACTTAAGGTATGATTTATTGATTTACCAGTATATTTCAACTATACTTATAGTTTGACGAAAACTAGAGACGCAGTTGTTTGAATACAAACAAATTAAAAATACCCCCGCCTTCCAAATATTTCATACCTTGTCAAACAGCCATCTACATTTCTTCACAGATATATAGTTGTTTCTGCACTAGCATTCTAATATGTTGTTTTCAAAAGAAAGAAGCTACAGTTGTTTGGTCGAGGTTTGTGCCCATTAATCTATCGGTCAATTTTCTTTGATTTAGAATGTCTATGAACGATCTAACTGCAAAACATTTGAAAATAAAGAGTACCTCCAGCAGTGTGACAGAGAAACAGATTTCTGTAAACTTAGAAACAGTGACAAAGAAAAATGCTCAGGTTAAAGACAACTTGATCGAAGAAGAGGCGGTAGAAACTGGACAGGTATATCAAAACAGCCAAGAACATGTTCATTAAAATATGTTATATAAGTAAACTTTACATGCTTCTAATCTCATGGATTTACACACCAACAGGTGAAATGGAAGCGGTTTATGGCTTATTTCAGAGCAATGTCTCTGAAGTACTGCATTCTCATGGTGATGTTATATGGACTTGGCGAGGGCATGACTCTGCTTGGAAATATATGGCTTAGCAAATGGACCGAGGATCCTGTTTTTACATTGGTTAATGAAACTATACATGACCCAGATGTTCAACAAAGGAATACATATTTCCTTGGGAGTTACATGGGTTTCGGATTAGGGCAAAGTAAGTGAAATAATTATACCTCTCCTGAAAAGGGGCGTGTTTGTGAGCTTTGTTCTCTTGAACTGCCTTTTATGTTCATGATTCTCCTTTTCCTAACATTCTTTATGTTCATTGATATAAAAAAAATTGATCTGTGGAGCTCCTTGAAATTGTTCTTATTCTAGAAAATCGAAGGATTCATCCAGTTACACTAACCTTTGGATAAAAATGAGATTCGCGACTATAAACACTTGCCTAGCTTGCTAAATTGATTATGAGGATGTATAATGTACTAATGACATTTTCTTTTTCATTTGCAGTCATTTTCGTATTGTTTTATGGGATTCTATTTGTACTTAGAACAACTGCCGCATCTCGCAAAATGCATACCAACCTTCTACATTCAATTCTGCGCTGTCCAGTTAGTTTTTTTGACACCACTCCATCAGGGCGAATCATGAACCGTTTTTCTAAGGACATGGATTCAATAGATACAGTATTTCCTTGGTATCTAGAAATGGTCATGTTCTGTTTTATTTCACTTCTGGGAGTTCTGGTTGCGATCACATACACTTCTCGCTGGTTTCTCTTGGTAGCTATTCCAATTGGAATTTTCTACTACCTCTTACTGGTATGAATCTAATACATTTTTCTGACCTTGATGTTATATCTTAATATTTATTTTCAACTTGTTAATTTGTCATTTTTTCGTTCATTTTTAATTTTTTTTTTTTTGGACAAAAATACATAAACAATGTAAGTACTCGTGTTTCCCCACAGAGTTTTTACTTACCAACCGCTAGACAACTGAGAAGAATTTCATCAACCAACAGATCTCCAATTTACAGTTATTTCAGTGAAACCTTAGCTGGTGCGAGTGTCCTCAGGGCATTTGGTAAAGGAGACGAGTTTATGTCTGAGCTTCAGAGCAGAGTGAATAATTACCAACAAGTCAAGTGGGCTGAAATATCTGTCGATGGGTAAAAATTTGTTTTAATTTGTATGCATTGTTGTTATATACTATGAAATAGGATACAGAAATTTTCAAAATTTGATGAATGAAATATGGATATAATGAACATTATTCAAGCTCAAAGTCCATTTAAACATTGCAAAACTAAAGCAGAGCAAATAAGGACTTCTAAAATCATCAAAGGTGGGATCAGGTGTCATGAAAGAGTAAACATCCCCTGCCGACCGGTCATAGCCGCCTTCTGCTCCTTGTCAGGATCGAGAAAAACTGGAAAGTCCATAGACAATTAAGTGTTTAAATACTGGTACATGTAATTGCTTAACAATTTATATGTATACTAGTAACCCCTTCAGTCAAATTGGGACCAAATTATAGGTTTTCTCTGACAAGGTCATTTAATTCACCTTGAAATTCACCGCAGAATAGAATAATAATAAAAGATTAACTACAGAAAAGATTTGACAACAAAAAGTCATTTGATTAAAAATGCTATCAGAACTTTTTAGATCAAAGAAAGATCATTCATTATATTCAATAAAACCACAAGAAAAGTTTATCTGGTCTAACACGCTGCATGATTATATTCCACAATGTCTTAATTTTAAGTTACAAAACGCTTCTCATCTTTAGATTTTGGCATTCTAAGCATCATAGAATGCAAAAAGTGGCATCTACATAAATACCGTTTCTGGGCCTTTTTATGATTATATGAAATCTTTAACAGGTGGAGAGGTATTCATGTTGGACTTCTGGGATGCTGTGTGATTTTAGCAGCTTCTATAATATCAGTAGCAACCAGAAACAGTATAAGCGCAGGAATGGCTGGGCTCTCAATATCCTATTCCCTCAATGTAAGTTTAAAAAGTGTTGGTTATTCACTGAAAGATTATGTTATACGCTTTTTGATGTTAGCATATCTGTAGAACTTTGAATTTTTTAGAATTATTTTTCCGATGGGATATTTTAGTATTAGTCATAAAAGTTTGTGCTAAAATTGAGATTTACTCAAGTCATGCGGTATATGTTTAATATATAGATGTTAGACATAATTTTATAAAAGAAAGTAGTCTTCTCCAAAGCCCTTTGCCAAGCTTAAGCATGAAGCAAAAAAAGAAATGTTAAATGAAAATTTATAATTGATATTGTGGATTTCTGAGTTTGTCTGCCTCAACCATGCCAAGAACATAATATAAACTCTGAAAACCCCGAAATGATCCTTCATGTTTTTATTTTCATATTTTTACATTGATGCCTGTATGACATTTCTATAAAAGGTTAAAGAGTTTTGTTACTAAGCATCATTTAAAATGACCTTCTTGGATGTCTTTTCTCGTACAATTTGCAGGTAACAAATCTGATGAGTTGGTTGTTGTACACAATAACCACAGTGGAAACAAATGCAGTATCTGTAGAACGTATAGCAGAATATACTGATAAAGAACCAGAGGTATGAACAAACCCGTTGAATACAGTGTCAAAAACATCAACTGGTTCACAGAAAAATTAGCGTAAACCAGAACACAGGCGCTTGATAAAATATATTCTTATATAATTCCAATCTTCATTGTATCTATTGAATTCCTGTGTTTTGATTGGACGAGAACACGTTTAAGAAAATTTTTACACATCGATAATTTTTTTTTTTCAATCAGAACTACTTTTTTGACCAAGCTTCTACATGTAGTTTATCGTATAAACAACGAAAGCAGTTATTTATTGTCTGTTTTGGATAAATTATAAATACAAAAAACTTCAAATTTAATTAATTAAAACAAAACTGGTGACATGCTAGGCTGCCCAGCTGACGGACGCCATGAAAATGTTAATGTCACTGTTCGATCACGAGTGTGAATTTTAAAGATCGCTGTCTCAACGTTCATAATACGAAGATAATCAACTCAGTTTGTATCGTTTAGACAGGGAAAAGAAACGTACAAACTCTTGCCCTATAAGCATCAAATTCATATTTACTTTCTATATTGTTCCTCAATCTTTGAACAAACAAGTGCAAATCGAAATTCTGCAACTTTCGCTATGAGAGATGTCGTTTATGTCAACATGGCCATGGTCAAGGACGAACTATTCTGAAGTAAACTCGTAATTACGATATTTGTTGACTTAAACAACATTCGATAAGTCTTTATAAGTTCATTTATCGATTGTTTTGACAATTTAAGTTGAACTCTATCGAAATTCATCTCGATTACGTTCCTTTGCGGTAAAATGTATTCCTTCGCCGTCCAGAACTAACGGATTGTATGGAGGCCTCAAAGAGAAATAATTTGAATATTTTTAAAAATTCGATATTGGAATTATAAGAATTAAACGTTCTTTTTGAAAAATTTATCGATGTGTAAACTCTTGACATTTTACTCACAAACTTAACATAAAAGTGCTTCGCACTTTTATTCAGTTTGTGAGTAAAATGTCAAGAGTTTACACATCGATAAATTTTTCAAAAAGAACGTTTAATCCTATATTAAATGATTAAACCACATACCTAAAATAATTACGCTCACAAATGTCTTAATTTTCTTTGATTATAAGTTATTTTGCATTACAGGCTGAACTTGTCAAAGCCGATCATCGACCTCCAGAGGACTGGCCGAGTCAAGGTCAGGTCACTCTGACCTCTTACTCTACACGATACAGACCCAACCTAGACTTAGTTCTGAAGGACATCAATGTCACCATCAAACCTGGAGAAAAAGTAAAGCACCATAGATAACCAAAACGATTGTAACAGAAAAAATCGTTTTGTTCTTAAAGTTTTGTAGGTCACCAGAGACATGCGCTAAAAAAGAGCTTTTCTGATCAAAACTTGTCCATTGTTCATCTCTCACTCACTCGCTCGTCCTTAGACAACAAACGACATGTCCACACCAGTTCTTCTAATCGGCCATTAGGGAAGCTAGTTCATTTGCATCCCTTGTCTTTGTGTCTCACTTTAGTGTGTTCATCTCTCTTTATGTAATAAAACTTCTACTGCCTTTAAAAAGACAATATTTCTTTTGTTTAGGTTGGTATTGTTGGGAGGACAGGGGCAGGTAAATCTTCCCTGACCCTGGCGCTGTTCCGTTTGATAGAACCAGCCTCTGGGAATATAGATATAGACGGGGTCAAGTTAACAGATATAGGACTTCATGACTGTAGATCAAAGCTGACTATTTTACCCCAGGTAAGAAATGATCCATCTAGTAAAATTATTATGATGTTCTGCTGTTAGTGTGGATTATTTTAAGAGAGAGAGAGAGAAGGGGGGAGGAGAAAGATTAATAACACCTACATTTTTGACTAAAAGGATCCGGTGTTGTTTTCTGGTACTCTGCGGATGAACATAGACCCAATGGATCAGAGCAAAGATGGAGAGATTTGGAATGCTCTTGAGCATGCTCATCTGAAATCTTTCGTGCTTACTCTGCCTGCTGGGCTAGAATCAGAGTGTGGGGAGGGTGGAAGTAACCTCAGGTACTGAAAAGTCAGACTTACGGACTTCACTTTTAACTTTGAGAAACAAAAAAAAATTACTACTGTACGTTTTCAAGTCATTTCTTGGTGATGTTTTTTTTTTCAGTGTAGGTCAAAAACAATTGGTTTGTCTGGCGCGATCTCTTTTGAGGAAGACAAAAATTCTAATACTGGATGAAGCCACGGCTGCAGTGGACCTAGAGACGGACGACCTTATACAGAGGACGATACGGGAGGAATTCAGGGAGTGTACAGTACTGACCATCGCACACAGGATCAACACAGTGATGGACTACGACAGGTATAAACAATATCTCAGAGGATTCTATAAAAACTAGAGGTACTGTGAGCAATGAGCTCACTAAATGATATCCCCCCGCCTCCCATATGAATATAATGACGGTGTCCATGTTTTGCTATGAGAAACCAAAAATATGTGTTGGATCAAAAAGTAAAATAAAATAGGCCTGTCTGTAGGTCCGTCTGTTGCGCTTTAGGGTACCCATCTCTTATCCGCAACTCCTCTCCTCGCACTGAATGAAATTTGATGAGACTTTCGCAGAATCTTTATTATACATTGCCATTATGCACCTCCTATTTTAATTTTTGATCGGGCAAATAATTTTGGGTTTCTCGTAGCAAAACATGGACACTGCCATTATATTCATATGGGAGGCGGGGGGAGGGGGTATCACTTAGTGAGCTCATAGCTCACAGTGCCTCTAGTTGTATCTAAGATATTGTATATGTAAATAATTTTTAAAAATAATTTTCATGTGTTTTCTAGAATTTTGGTGCTTGACAATGGTCGTCTACTGGAATCAGATACACCACAGAATCTGATGTCCAACACTAAGAGTCTATTCCATGAACTAGTCAAAAATGCTGGCATTATAAAATAAACTATCTTCAGCCAATTGAATTTCATTTCTTGCTGGTTTGTATTATTAGCTTTTTATCCTCCTTAAACAACTGTTTTTTCTTTGAAAAGAACGCGGATGTACATCTGACACAGTAAAAGATTTCCGCTAACGACGAGGACATTCTTCGAAGTGTCAAATTTTATGGCTCTTGTTATTTCAGGAATTGCATTTTTACTTCACAGCACCTTCCATCCACAGATGATAATGATGTCGAGATAAGCGTTCGATTCACAACTCTTAGAAGTAACATTTTAGAACAATTGAAGAGTTACATAAGTCAGGTTAAAGGAAAAGAATTCTTTTTCACTTTTGTAATCCTTGTTTAGAAACATGCCTATTCTATAGCCATTCCAACTAGCATAAAAATAGGGTATTTTGTTAAAAAAACACATCAAGAACTGAGTAATCCGAAGTTGATATTAAAAAGATGCTTAAGCTTCTGATTGACAACATCTATGTGGTTTTTGGATACTGGGTCTTCCAACAATCCATTGGAAGATCCATAGGTAACCAAGTGTGATCTGTTATAAGCAGACATATTTTTGTATTTATATGAAGCAGGATGTATTCTATACGTCCTATAAGTCCTACATATAAAAGAAGAAAACAATAGCTGGCTGTTGCCTTCAACTCGACATTTAGATATATCGTATAGCGTATTGTCAAATGACAATGGCTGTCCATATATGATACCCCATCGAGTTTGAAATAAAATACACGACAGAGTTTAACACATCTGTTTCATATTTGGATACTAGTATTTATTAGAAAAATAAGGAGTTAATACGAGGGCTGTTCAATAAATAATGTCATGGGTGCTCAAAAAGAAGCAAAAGACGCTTTTCAATGATTTAGTCTTAATAATCTAACTTGGATATTCTCTTTGAATTAAAATACAAATCCGTAACATTTTTATCCAATATCTGATTGTTTTTAGAACTCATTTTTGAGTATGGCCCTTCGTATAATGGATTATGGCAGATCACATGATTTCCTTGACTTGTTTCTTCTTTCTTAAAAATTTTTTTTTAAGTTTGGAAAATGAACCAAGTCAAATGGTGACAGATCCGACGAACATTGTTGTGTGACAAAATAGTACCTTTTGGTTTGTCCCCAAAACTCCTTTACTCTTCATGGCGTGTGGGTTTAGACGCTGTCATGAAGAAATTTAGTGTAGTTGATTCCTTATTCTCGTTCCGTCCTCTCAAAGACCTTTCGTTTTTTTAAAAAAAGTTGCTTTCTAGACTCCTCCAGAAATTTAACTGCCTACCCGAATAATAATTTGAACAACAAGACCACTAATATCTAAGAAAATGGTCCATAAAACTGTCTTTGTCCTCTTGCAATTCTTTGCTCTTCTCAGACCTTGGCTGTTTCTGTTAAATGCATCTTATTGTAAAAATGTTTTGAGGGTAATAAAGCAATGGATTCAAGTGTAGTTGTCTGTTTTAATTTCAGACAAACGGGGATAACTACAATTTCTGATTTTTTTTTAAATAATTGTTAGATATTCTTACACGATGTCGTTTTCACTCATTTTTCAAAACATAGTGTGACCATTGAGTACTTAGAGTTTTTTTTTACTGTCAAATGTTTCTGTAAAATAGTGTGAACTAACCCCAAATTAATGCCTAGTTAATTTGCTATGTGTTTTTAAGTCAATCAAACATCATAAATGATAATTTTTTGTTGAATTTTGGCAAATAGAACTTTGGTTGTTGTAAGTCCTTGTCGCCAAGGACGGTACCCATTTTTTGATGCCCATTATATCATTAATGTTCATTGAAATCCACCTGCTCATGCGTCTATAAAACAGGCATTGGTTGCTGTAAATTTCACAAATTTCAGTGAATATTTCTTTGAGATTCTTATTAAGATTTACAGCTGCTTAAATGAAGAGTTTATTTTCACTCTATAGTTTACTGATTCATTACCATTCATTTTTAATGCAGTGTCTCGAATAGCCCTTGTTTTCCAGCTTCTCACAATGAAAATATGAGATGAAAAGTGGTTATATTAAACTGATATCAATTCATGAAAGATTCAATCATGAGAGAAAGTCAAGCTTAATGTCATATAATATATGTGTTGTATGTCATAGAGTTCAGGACATTATTTACTGCAGACCTCGTAGTAATCTAAAAACAAAGCTTTGTAAAATGATAAATGTGATGAAAACTTTTCAGTCGTCAGCTTTCCTTACTCATTAAGCAATATACACTTTTCACATGCTTACTCAGTTGATTCGATTCGCAAGACCCTAATTGCTCTACGTATGAACAATTGATTAATCCTGACCATGCCATGGCATCTGATCCCACTTCAGATGTTTTAGATGTTCGTGTTTGCTCCGCTTCTAGTTGTATTTTTTAATGGGCCTTTGAGCTTGAATACTGTTCGTTAACTCCATATATTTCACTTTATATGCCGTCATGTTTTTAAGGAAAAGAATACTTTTCAAGTAATCCACTTAAATGTGCAAACAAGGAATTGAGTCAATAATATGTTATATTAATGATCACAATAGGGTCCAGTCATCTATGCCAACACATTTCAAGTTGAAGTCCAAACAAAGCAGTTACAGTATTGTTATTTTAATTGTATTTTAGGAAGCTTGAACAGCTGTTCAAATTCAATTCTGTATAGCTATGATAATCTAATGAACTTTTAGAAAATTACAAAATTTTACCAAAATCCTATAAGATCATAACACAGAACGTCAGATAGTACAGTATACCATTTTAACTTACATTATGGAGTCCAGATGATTCGATAAACAAGAACATGTTATATGTGCAATTAGTTTTTAAAAAAAACAAACGTTTTTTACTTCCTAGAGTAATTGAAAGGCCGTTATTTCCACACTGATTTACTTGTCTACGTATTTTTCCCCGTTTGTCCGATCATGGCATTGAAATATTTCATGTTAGCTCAAACTGCTGAACAATTCTGAATATTTAAAGTAAATGATACATCAAACTCTGCAAGTAGTAACCCATCTTATACCCCTAGCTCTCTTTCTAAAGAGGAAATTCTTCAAAATCATATTTCAGTTTTAAATATTTTAAATATTCCCAACAATAAAATGAATTTGACATGCCGAACCTAAAGGATACATTATTCATAAACTCCATGAAAAGATACACAGCTGTTTCCAGTAAATGTTTTAATAAGCCTCTTCGTTTAATCCTCATTAAAATATAAACAGCATTGAAGGAGAAACTTTAGATGTACTATACAACAATATATTCGAGAAGTGATGCAAATCAGAGAAGTGGTGCAAATCAGATGTGGATACCAAAACCCCCAGGGCACTTTCAGAAAATGTTATCAAAATCAATAACTTCAAAATGTTTCAACAGTTTATACAACCATTCTCCATGAAAAACTAATTTCCGAGCTTTTCGAAATCACAGAGAGCCACTTTATTCCCAATAAAAATGGATATTAAAAAGATGCTCGAGTTTCTGATTGACAATATTTACTTAGCGTATGGAGACAAGGTCTTCAAACATTCTATTGAAATTCCAGTGGGTACCTATTGCTCTCCGTTATTCGCAGACCTATTTTGTATTCATATGAAGCAGATAGAATTTGTTTGAAAAGAAGAAAACACTGTTGCACTCGACATTTAGATATTTCGGCGACGCATTGTCAATAAACAATGGTCATTTCCATTCTTCTGTCGACACGATATATTCCGATGACATTGAAATACCAGAGAGGCTGACATGTCTGTATTTTTTAAGGCCTGCAACTTGACAGAGTATTACATATTCGGATGTTTTAATAGAAAATGGTAAACTAACAAAAAAACTCTGTGATGAACGTGAAAACTTCAATTTTTCTATCGTCAACATCCCTCACTTCAATTACTTGTGTTGCAATATGCCCTTTATCAACTGCATATCAGCATATATGGAGCCTGGTATCTGCCCCCAGTTGATTCGATGCCAAGAGCTTGCGATAATTTTTTTAACGAGACAAGCTAAATTGAATCAACGATATCACCATTTCGTTTAAACTCGTCATTTTGCACTTCCAATATGGTAGCACAAAGGATCCAGTAATGCTTCGCGAATAAGATAACGTACGATCTATTTAATTAACCCCCACCAATTGTAGTACGAGTTAATAAATAAAATCAAAATGGAGGCAGAATGAACGAAGCGATCAGACGTCCCGAACAAGTATCGCCAAAATCAAGTCCCCGGGGGTCCCGTTCGCCGGCATACCCTCGTCCCGACTCTTCGGGGACATTGAAAACCACGATAAGTTTAGGAAGAGTCCCTTCAGTCATTCATTCCGGCCCATTTTATCTTGTAAAAGATATTGGACCAGCACGTATGTCAAACTTTTTTACTAGTAAATCGTTTCCCTGTAAATTACGAACAGATACTCCAGTATTTACATAATATTTAATATTATTTATGCTTTTATACCTACTTTTTGCTTAAGCTGCATTTTTTGGCCAAGGGAAGGAACATGATTATCGCAATATTGTTCTATTGTGTTTTGTTTTAATTCATTATAATTAAATTCCCATATATGGCAAGACATTACCAATAACTCACACAAAACTTAAAAACATCCTTAAATTATTAACAAATCAGTTTTAATTTTCAAACCTTCACTTCGAAATCTTTAAATTATAACATAAAAGGGACTATCCTTCATGCGTTCCATCTCTAGTCTTCAGCCTTATAACAGGTTGGACACAATTCCTTTTTTTAGTAACTGTGACGTTAAAAAGGGTAATGTTCCTCTTTTTAGTAATAAATCAGTATGTACTTTATACAGGAATTTTTGTCATACATTGTATTTTTAAATTAATGCCTCTAATCCATTTATTTGATAAAATGTGCATGAAAAATATTTAGGGAGAGGGCTAAAATAGGCTTTGCCTGCTGCCCAATCCCATTCACTTATGTGAATAAAATTTTGTATAAATAAAAAAAAAAAAAAAAAAATGATGTTTTGTGTTTAAACTTTATTTCACCAACCTTTCTACAAAAAATTTTGGTGCTTTAGAGCTGCAGACATATTATTAAAATTTGCATTGTAAAGAGAAATAAAAGAAAGGAAATAATCCATAAACAGAGAGAATAATCTGTAAAATACTTGTAAATTTTGATTTTCTCCATTTATAACAGATCCATCAGTAATCACGGGAAGTAGCAACCTTATGATTCACTATGGTCTCCAGAACTCATACAGCAAGTTCTGTAAAAAAGAGGGGAAAGAGGAGCTAAGTGCATTCCTACCGAATCTCCCTGGATATATAGATACTCCCGGAATACAAGACAACAGGTGACATATAATACCACTGTGATAACTCTATATATAAATTTTTGAAATTATTAACTAAGAAAAATAATTATCTATATTTAGAAAGTCATATATTTTAAAAAAAATAATATTTGAACCATAAATAATTTAGATAGTAAGAAATCTGATATGTTAATGGCATAAATGGGGACTTGCAAAGAAAAGCTGAATTCATAATATCTTGTTACAGCTCTTTGAGATCTCTGATTGAAAACCCACCGAAGACCAGTAAGGAACTGGTGCCATTGTCTGGACCAGCTTTACAGGGGTTCCGCCTACACCCAGGACCAGTAAGAGAGAGAGAAAGAGAGAGAGAGAGACTTGTTTATCATAGAAATATGTAGATAAATTGTAAAAATCTGTTTTGACAATCACATTTTACACAGAAATACCTGACAGTGTTGGCAATATTGTATACAGGGTTATTTTCGCCATATGTTATTGTCACCCTTTTAAATATTCAAACAATTGATCTTTCTAATCTAAATTTGCCCATTCAAAGTTCTATTGAATTTTTGACATGTGTATACCCCTGGTACTGTGTTGTTTGAATTCGAATCACTTTGAGTTTGCCCTTCTGTGAGAAGATGTAAAAGGGTGATAAAACATGTAATTCCTTGTATATAGTAAAACATATCATGGTTTTTCAAATTAAATTTTTCCTTTTTAAATCGTTTATGAAATTTCTTTTTATTAAAAGACAGTTCATTTTGTTGTACACAAGTTTAATCATATTTCAGCTACCTGAACAATATCGATTTATGAGTCATATGCCCAAAAAGAAACATAAGCTAAAGAAACGACGAGAAGAAAAGCCAGGCAATATGCAGGATACACAAGGTGAAGGTCTCAAGAACTGCTATAAATATTATTTCTTCAAGTGCTTTATAATGTATAGGTAAAAATTGTGTGTATATTTGTCAGTCTTGTTATTCAATTACAAATATTTCATTCACAGATAATTCTCCAGAGGTGAAGGCTAAGAAAGTTAAAACAGAGGAAAATCTAAAGAAGAAGAAAAAGAAGAAAAATAAGAAAAAAGCAAAGGAGAAAGATGAAGGTAAGTCATTCTTTTGTCAAGTTCATATTCTTTGTTTTTATGTCTGCTATATTCACAAAAATGTACAGAACTATTGTTACTTGTGGACTAATCATTCACAGGAATTTTTGACATACATGTATAATCCAGTTTAAAAATAAATTTACATGTATATCATTTCAAATTTCAGATGGCCAATCCTGATGGTCTCGTGTGAATGGAGAAACTATGGCAGCAGAACAGTGTTCTATAATAACAGAGTGAATGACAGCACTATGTGTGACATAGTATGTGTGCAAGAAATGTATGGTTTTAAAATATTTGAGTGTATGAATAAAATAAAAATCTTAATGATATTTTTCATATGATTTTGTACATTTTCTCATCTGGGCTTTTCTTCCAGATTGTTATTCAAATGTAAAATAAAGAATATAGAATATTCTTTATAGTATATTTTCTATAAACCCTGGATTTTTGTAAGTATGGTACTATTTTTATCTCACCTCAACAAAGTCGAGATGAGCTTAGGCTATACCCCTGGTGCTGGCATCCTAGTTAAAGTTTTAGGAGCAAGTCCATTCCAAAGTAACTACCAGGTACCAGTATAAGCCCTATCTGGAATAAACTTACATTGATGATGCATTGAAAGATGGACACTACCATACTTACTTCCGATGCTGGATCTGATCTACATTTTCAAGATGAGTGACCACATAAAGTATTTGAAGCAGGTTTTATCCCAAGCATCTATAAGCCCTACCTGGACCAAACTTGCAAGGATGATGCATTTAGTGGTGGTCACATAAAAACTTGCTTCAGATGCTGGATCTGCTACATTTTCCAGATGAGCTACCAGCATTTAGTTTTCAGAGCAGATCCATTCTTAAAGTATGATGTAATAATGGCATTCATTTCCTATTGACATAACGGGTATTTCTAGTTCTTAAACTGTGACTTGTATCCAGAATCTTGAAAAACACTTCACAATTTTTTTTTTCTGCTCCCTGAGCCATTAACCTTGAATTCTGAAACCTTAAAGGGGCTTAGAAAAGGATTTGAAGTTAATTTTTCAAAATTTCTGTATAATGTTGCTATAGCATTTCATTTTTACACAAGAATATATAATAAACTCATTTCATCTGGAAATTATTGAAACTTAGAATTTTGGGAGGCTTTGATTGACACATCTTCACAAATGAGCAAAACTAACTTTCCATTATTGTCAGTCCGTGCTCTGTGATGTGTGCAGAGTTTAACAAATTGAACACACCCAGTGAAATGTACTGGTAATTAATGTTTTTGTAAACAGGGCATAAGATCTGTTATTGTTAATGTTTCACCGGGTGTGTTCAATTTGTTAAACTCTGCAAACACTAATAAGCATGTACTGATAATGCTGGTGAGTTTGGTGTAAAATTTCAATACTTCTCATATACCTATACACAACAAAATTTCTTCTTTTCCCAAGTTTTTAGGATAAAGTTTACCGGTACTTGTGAAAGTGCAAAGATGTGTCAACTAATAAAATTGTCCCAAAATTTCTTGTTTTATTAGCTCACCTGAGTCGAAGGCTCAAGTGAGCTTTTCTGATCACATTTTGTCCGTCGTCCGTCCGTCCGTAAACTTTTCACATTTTTTACTCTTCTCAAGAACCAGTGGGCCAATTTTGACCAAACTTGGTACAAAGCATCCTTGGGTACAGGGGAATTTAAATTGTTAAAATGAAGGGCCAAGTCCACTCACAAGGGGAGATAATCAAGAAAAGACAAAAATAGGGTGGAGTCATTAAAAAATATTCTTCTCAAGAACCACTGGGCCAGAAAAGCTGAAACTTATGTGGAAGCATCCTGGGGTAGTTTAGATTCTAAATTGTTCAAATCAAAGTTTTACATAAAAATATATAGGAAAAATCTTTAAAAATCTTCTTCTCAAGAACCATTGGGCCAGAAAAGCTGAAACTTATGTGGAAGCATCCTGGGATAGCGTACATTCTAAATTGTTCAAATCATGACTACTGGGGGTTGGGCAGGGCCATAATGGGGATTCAAAGTTTTACATAGAAATTAATGTAGGAAAAATCTTTGAAAATCTTCTACTCAAGAACCACTGTGCCAGAAATGCTGACACTTATGTGGAAGCATTCTGGGGGTAGTGTAGATTCTAAATTGTTCTAATCATGACCCCCGGGGTTTGGGCGAGGCCACAATGGGGAATCAAACCATCCTATGGTAGTGTAGATTTCAAATTTTCTAAATTATGATCAGTGGGGTAGGGTGGGGTCATAATATGTATTACAAGGGGGAAATCTGGTAAAGAACGGAATGGTGTTTTGCAATATATGTCGATATTCTACAGAAAATTGAAGAAAATAATTTCAAATCTGCGTCCAAGCCCCTTCAAGTTAATTTACTGTCCATTCATTTCAAGGTTCTTTTTATTGCCTAAATCTTTTTTATCAAAAGTATGAACTATCAATACTTGGTAGCTGAAACCATTATAAGGTGAAAAAAGCTCTCAAATTTAATTTCCGGCATTTATCTTACTTCTTATCTTTCTATTCAACACAAACACAATACGGAAACATTCTGTCAGTATTTTATTTTAAATAATGTTTAGAAGACCATTTTGTGAGGGTACTGTCGGCTTCCAAGGGAGAACATGGAACCAAGGTAACCAAACAACAATTTTTTCTCGGGATTTTTGCGGATCACGTCCAGAATTTGTTTATCAACAGCCACCTGGTCTTCTTTTCTTTCATCACTGACAGTGTACACCTATAGGAAGAAAGAAATTCTAATAATAGCAATATTTAAAAGCACAACTAACCTTTAATAAAGCAAATTTTTGACTTAAATTTTTTTAGAAAAACCAGAAGTCTCTGTTGAGACTGTAGCTCTACTGGTTTGTATTTATAATAAAGGAAGAGAAAAGTAGCAGTTGGGACTTAAAACTTTACAAAAGCAATAAACAGAATAATGTTCCTTGATTAAGTCTCTTTATGTGGCAAGATTGCAATAAGACTACAACTGTAGGAGTAGCTTTTAATAAAACTTTACAGAATTTTCAATTTTAGATACCATGGCAACATCAATCATCAAAATCAAAAACATGAAACTGATAATTATTAGTGCCGTGCGATATTACCGGTTAACCGGTGTATCCCAATTTCGTTCTTCACAATATGTATCGTGGTATTTTTTTGTGAATACCGGTTCGGGTTCGATATGCTATAATATTGTCATAAAAAGAGTTATTTGCCCTTTTCAAGGTAAAATATGGTGGCAAGCGACGTAAAAAGTTATTAGAAACCAGAGACATGTCTCTGTCAGAAACGAAAAGATGACAACTGTTACATGAAACCCCTTCATGTTCAGGCTGAATCGGAATATTACAACCTGATTCTTCAAGTTGTGCCACAAAAAACTTAGTTTGCCACTTGCGCCGACATAACACGATCAGGCAATTGCAATATCCACTCGAGAATACATGTATTTTGAGTTTGTGTTTTCATTTAACATTGACGAAAAAGAAAAATTATAAAAAATTTTATATCGTGATATATTGCAATACAAAATAAAATATTGCAATATATCGCGATACGATTTTTTAGTCGCGACACCCAACACTAATAATTATGTATCTCAGTGTAGTCTACTTGCATGCCAAATTATATTATAATCAGACTAAAACTGTATTTGGAGTAGCATTTTGAAAGTATTTCACAGAAATTTCTGTTTTTAGTAACCATGGCAACATCGTTCATGGAAATCAAAAACAAATATATAGAATTATGTATCTTAGTGTTGTCTACTTATGTGCCAAGTTATACTGAAATCAGATCAAAACTGTAGGAGGAGTAGCATTTTAAAAGTATTTCACAGAAATTTCTATATTTAGTAACCATGGCAACAATGTTCATCGAAATCAAAAACCAATACAGAGTATTATATATCTGAGTGAAGTCTACTTGTGTGCCAACTTATATTGTAATCAGACAAAACTGTAGGAGGAGTAGCATTTTAAAAGTATTTCACAGAAATTTCTAGTTTTAGTAACCAGGGCAACATAATTCATCGAAATCAAAAACATATACAGAGAATTATGTATCATAGTGAAGTCTAATTTTGTGCCAAGTTTTATTGAAAGCAGACCAAACTGTAGGAGGAGTAGCATTTTGAAAAACTGTTTACAAGCAGAAGACAAACGGATGGATGGACGACGGACGCATTACTATTGCTTAAGCTCTTCTGGCCTCTGACCAGTAGAGCTAAAAATGAGATTCTGGGGCCTGTTTTACAAAAGAACTTATCACTAAGGCCAAATTTGAAATCCTGAAATAACTTTATAATTGATATTAAAAAGATTTTTTTTTTTTTTTTTAAAAAAAGGTATGTAGAAAGATAATTTTATGGCAGCAATTTTTAACAAAATCATTAATTTTGCAAAATTTTACTATCAAGTGAAGTTTTTGGTCTTAATAGTCAAAGTTTTTTTTTTTTTTTTTTTTGAAACGGAGCCTGATCTATAACTGAACAGAAGAATGAGAGAATTCCCTTAAATTCACCAAGTATTTAGCTTGCTGGTCTGAAATATTGGGTTGAGTGGCGAGAGCTACAGACCCATCCATTGGAAAAAGAGGGGGGGAATGAGCCGTTTATAGATTTTCCTTCACTTTTCTTTTTCTGTTAATAACATTCTAGAAAACCAAAGAGGCAAAATTCTTTCTCTCCATTCTTAAAACCCCCATCCCCTCCCAAATGATGCTGCTACTACAATGTCAAATTTACATAAAATATCTGTTACAGTGGGAGGTGCATTATTCAGAATTCAGTTCAAGTACTTCCAAGACACAACATTAATATTTTAATCATGAATAAATTAAAGCCCTAAACAAGGCTCATCCTCCCCAAAAATCAAATTTCATTATACTTAGTCTTTCATACTCAGACTGATTTTTCTATTAAAATTTCATATTCCTCATCAAAAATCTAATAAATATAGCCTCAACATGAAGTCAAATATCCTTTGTATAATTTTTATGAATTTAAACATTCTCTGGGTCAAGCAGAACTTAGTACATAATAGTTACAAAAATCCAGCACCCATTATAGTCACTGTCACATGTACACCTACCATCAACTAATTTACTTGGAGGAAAAATATACAGTTATATAATATTGACAAAGCATTCATCTAAGTAAATTACATGTAGCTAACATAAAGCTGGAGCTATATGACCTATGCAACCAGAAGTCTCTGTCGAGACTGTAGCTCTACTGGTTTGTACTTATAACAAAGGATAAGAAAAGAAGCCATTGCAATCAGACCAAAACTGTAGAAGGAGTGACGTTTTAAAGGAATTTCACGGACATTATTATTTTTAGTACTAATGGCAACACCGTTCAATGAAATCAAAAACCAATGCACTATTTTATGTATCTTAGTGTAGTCTACTTGTGTGCCAAGTTATATAGAAATCAGACCAAAACTGTAGAAGGAGTACTGTTTTAAAGGAATTTCACAGAAAATTCTATTTTTAGTAACCATGGCAACACTGTTCATCGAAATCAAAAACCGATGCACTATTTTATGTATCTTGGTGTAGTCTACTTCTGTGCCAAGTTATATTGAAATCAGATCATAACCGTAGGAGGAGTAGCATTTTAAAAGAATTTCACAAAAAATTCTATTTTTAGTAACCATGGCAACACTGTTCATCGAAATCAAAAACCGATGCACTATTTTATGTATCTTAGTGTAGTCTACTTGTGTGCCAAGTTATACTGACATCAGATCATAACTGTAGAAGGAGTAGCATTTTAAAAGAATTTCACAAAAAATTCTATTTTTAGTAACCATGGCAACACAGTTCAACAAAATCAAAAACCGATGCACTATTTTATGTATCTTAATGTAGTCTACTTGTGTGCCAAGTTATATTGAAATCAGACCAAAACTGTTGGAGGAGTAGCATTTTAAAGGAATTTCACAGAGAATTCTATTTTTAGTAACCATGGCAACATGGTTCATTGAAATCAAAAACCGATGCACTATTTTATGTATCTTAGTGTAGTCTACTTATGTGCCAAGTTAAATTAAAATCAGACCAAAACTGTAGGAGGAGTAGCGTTTTGAAAAATTGTTTACAGACAGACGGACAGACAGACAGACAGACGGACGGACACCTTACTATCGCATAAGCTCTTCTGGTCATCATGAAAATCATCATGAAAATATTAGAACCTGTGTGAGTTGGCCTAGGGAATTTGTATGCGAGATCCCCCTCCCTCCAAAAAAATCTGTGCATTTTCTGATAACTGACCTCTTTCTTGGTGTCAAAGATTTCGCCCTCTGTGTGTCGGGGCTTCTTCAGCTGTTTACGGTTGAAGTATTTGTCATTGAGGCGTTCTGGTAATTTAACACCACTGATGTCCAGCTTTGTTTTTGTGGCAATCGTGTAGATCTGGTTGATTCTTCTGAGAGGGCAACCATTCAAATGGAATGGACCTTAAAACAGAGTCATTTATATAAACAACGTTGCAGTATGTGATTGTTCTGTAACATACAAAGAGACAAAGATGATATTAAACTGTTCACAAAAAGTTATGTACAGAAACAGATTGTTAAATTCCTACAATACGAGGGTTGTTCCATATGTATTGTGTATTGTACGATATCTCAAAAGCATTAGATTCAAATAGTCAAATGGACATTACAACCCTTCAAAGTATTCTCCGTGATTTGAAATACACAATTTTAATCTCTGAATCCATTTCTGAAATGCGTCACGATATGCTGATTTAGGTATACCTCTGAGGTACTGACTGACGGCTGAGCCAAGGGCCTGTCGGGACTTGTATCGACGACCAGATAAGAACTTTCTTAAGGTTTGGAAAAAGGAAAAAGTCGCATGGTGCTAGATCCGGAGAGTATGGTGGGTGTGGCAAGACGGTAACCTTCTCAGACTTCAAAAATTGCTTCACAAGCTCAGATGTACGTGATGGAGCATTATCATGAAGAAGGCGAACATGCCTAAATCCCGACACAGGACGTTGTTTCTGATAATATTTCTTGAGCTTTTTCAGTACAACATCTCGGTAATACCGACCTGTAACACTTTTGCCCTTCGGCACCGGATTTGTACGGCTAAACCATCACAAGAGAAGAATATGCAATAAAGGACCTTCTTTGTGCTCATTGTCCTTTTGGCAACTACAGGCCTTCTACTGTGTTTGGTTAGCCATAATTTGTTTCCAACTTTTCTTACTGGTTCGAAATAGTGAACCCATGTTTCGTCACCAGTAACTATGTTTGCAAATTGTCTTTGATTGAAGTTTGGAAACATTTTAAGCAGTCGCTTAGCGGTTTGTATTCGTACCTTTTTTTGGTCATCTGTCAATATATGGGGTATCCATCTGGCAGAAATCTTTCGTACTTTCAAAATACGCTTCAAAATGAAATGCACCCGCGATAGCGATATGCCAACAGCTTTGGCAATATCACGAATCGTGTACCTGCCATCACTTTCAATTATTTCCTTGACTTTTGAGACGTTTGTCTTGCCTGATACAGTCACAGGTCGACCCGATTTTGCTGCATCTTTGACGGACTCTGTGCCAGTCAGAAATTTCTGTCTCCACCTACGAACTGTCTCATAAGATACCTTATCAGAACCATAAACTTCCCCCAATTCAGTAAAAATCTGCTTTACCGAATTACCGAGTTTTGTGTGAACTTTTATATAAGCTCTAATTTCTTCAATATTCTATTTTCCCAACCATTTTTACAACAGTGGTCAACGACTGGCTCTATTGAAATGACGATTATTTTATAACCATGTGTAGATGAAGGCTCGTGTTTATACTGTTGGCAAGGTATTGAATAGAGTTATCCAGGCGTATAAATATCGACGAAATTGTGCAAGGCGTTATCGCGCTGTGGTACAATACACAATACATATCGAACAACCCTCGTATAATCCATGTCATTTTGTGTATTTCCTCAAATGCAACCAATTGTGCATTCTTTTCCTTTTGCATATTCTTCCCAATTAATTGTTCTTTAATCTTTAACAAGAGTTACTTTGGGAAAAAAAAATGTAATTCAGTTACCTGTCACCAAAAGTAATCCAGAATCCAACTGTTTCAAGAAGACAACTCTCTGCAATGAATGTTAAATGAAATTGTTTTTATTACTGAATTCCTCATAATTCATATGGGTCTATGCATTGAACAAGAATAAAAAGAGAGACTCCGAGAGATGTTTGTTGAACACTAAATTATCCCCCTCCCCAAGTGAACAAGGGGCATCACTCTGTCAAAAATTGTTCACTTGTATCCAAAACGGAACTTGAGATAGATCTTATGATAAATCTGTACCAAATTTCATTTCAGTATGTGCAAACTTGAAGCCAGAAGGTATTGTAGAAGAACGTTAATTTTGTTGCTACCATGTCCTGTATAGCACATGTGCATTTACACCAATGACTATGGATTATAATGAATAGTGAGTGAGTGACTAAGTGAGCGGCTACATACTGTAGATTCCTTATTTTTCGTGAGTACTTATTATCGCGAAAGGCCTCTTCAACGACAAATCGCGAGAATAATAATTCGCAAATGGATGATTCGTCAAAAGATTTTACATTGTTTTTAGTAGGTAGTTTTTAGCAACATAAAAATAAAAGCGAGTAATTTTATTTCGCAACTGGTGTTCCTTGCGAAATTAGGTGACAATTTATTCTATGCATTTAGGAATTTACAGTATATAGGGGCCCTCATTTAAATAGCAAGATCAATCGCATATGGTGGACAAATTCTATTTTCAAAATCGTGTTTAGCCTATGAAATGTGGCAAGGAGGTGTTAACCACAACCGATATATTGCTTTACCTTTCCCTTGTGACGGCCTGCCACAAGAATAAGAACAGTACCAGGAGTAATAGAGGACCTTATGCTGTGCTTGTGCTTGGAAAAGGCAGTCTTTCTGGACCTCAGTTTCCTGGGTTTATCCTCAGTCGGGTAATAGCGAGACTTAAATGAAAATTTTAACATGTTTAACACATATCAAATATCAAACTATGAACATTACCTGCCTGAAAAAATTATCAGGAAGTTTAAAAACCCCAAAATCATATTTAGGGAATTCATCTGATCACTCATATGTATTAAAATATTCATTACTATTCTGGTTTTCCTGACAAGTCTGGAACCACCATTTTTATCTCCACCAATAGTTTTCTTGACCATGCGGGTCTCAGTCTGTTTCTTTGCAGCTGGTTTGGCAGCCGCTGCCTTTAGCTTAGCTGCTTTAGTATCGGCTTTCGGTCCCATCTAAGAAAATTGAAACGAAGTTTGATAAATGATGAACACTTTTTAAAGTTTATTCCCTTGAACTGTATTCCCAGATAAGGATATTTGATACCATTTGTACTGTTCAAAGTATTCTTTTTTTGTTGATTACAATGTGTAATGACACCAACAACAATTAAGACAAGAAGTAGAAGCTAGAAGTGTCAAAGGTAAATATTGCTTGTACCCACGTTTGTTTTGATATGTATTTTATGTATTTCGGATTAATTTAACACAAATATGGAAAAAATATATACGACCCATCATAAAACGTTTGATTGTTAATGTGTTTTTATTTAAAGATTATATGTATAATGCACGATGACACTGATTTAGAGCGGATTTCTCTATGAAATTATGAATATACATATTTCTTATTCACTCACATCGACGGCCGGAAGTAAAAGGAAGCACAATTATTGTGACGTAAAGCACATATGGGTAACTTCCTGTGTCTGGAGAAAGAAAAACCATAGACCTACAAAAAAACAAAAAGCAACAACAACAAGTTTTACAATGATGCCACTCGCTGGTGCCTATTATTATTTTTTTTATATCATTTATGACATGTTCTTTAATATGAATGCAGTGTTTTCTTCAGTAGTATGTACACTGTGTACTTTTTTTAAATAAGCAAATTTTAAGCAAATGCATGTTTGTCATAGTCAGGTCCAGTCCAAATACGTAGCTACTTATAACTACTTAGGTATTTAAACATAACCCGGGTAGCTATTTTTACGTACTCTTTACCTTTTTTGCCTTTTGAGACAATCTGCGTTTGGGGTTTGAATCCCACGGTGGGACTCGAAGACTTGTCCATATAACTGAAGTCCTGTGTTGCATTAGGGAATTAGGGACAGATACTAAAATAAATCTCTAATTGCTCAAAGTTAGCAAGTGCAGATTTCTGCTCTAAACTTTCATCCCTGCCTTCACTGGCAATTGGTGGCATCCAAATTGCTAAACGAATGAAAAATTCTGGAAGAGATGTTTAAGAATAAAGTAAACAATTATACTATAGAAATGCAAATTTTCGTTGGGATCAAATTGCGTTGATTTGTTATCTAGAAAGGTTTCATGGATATTGAATTTCGTCTTTTTGAAGCAACACTAGTCAACAAATAGTTGTGTGCAAATTTCATGTGGGATTTAATTTGGTTGATAATTGTAAACAACGCAAAAAAAAATGAAATTTAATCCAAAACGAAATTCTTTCACAGTAATAATGTTTGCCTAAATGTTCTTCTCCCTACACTGATCATATATGGTATTCCTTTTCTGTTCCTTATAATTCACCCGTGTTTACACTTCTTCAATTCTTTAGTTTATAATATATCATTTGAATTTTTTTTCCTTCAAAGTATATGCTCCATATTTTGTGTTTTATTCAGACAAAGTTAAAAACCAAGGGTAGTAAAACGTTTTAGTAAAAATAAATATATGTAATGGTAGATTGAAATAATATATCGTTAATATGTTCACTTACAGATAATGGTACAATAACTTGTATATTTGTTCATTGTTTCAGATGGACATGTTGCGGGGGAACACCAGATTGATTATAAACAGAAGTATAAAACATTAAAAAAGAAACTAAAATTACTGGTGTATGTAAGTAAAGCATTTGCTATTTTAACATTATTTAAGTAAATAACATGAATGAGGATGGGCTTTCTTTGAGAAAAAAAATTGCCTAATGATCAACATTTCAGAGTTACAGTGATAATTAAACTCTGATGCCTACACATTTGGTCACAATGATTAATTTTAATCTCTCTGACAATAACCCAGCTAAATTATTCTTAAGAAACATGACAGAGATTTACCTTATCACCAATACATTCATTTGTATTTTATGTTTTTTTTTATTAGGAACAAGAATGTTTTTTGGAAGAATTACGAAAGGCTCAGGGGAAGTTACTCAAGGTTTCTAGAGACAAAAGGTAAACCATATATAATTTGTTATGAATTAAGAGGTATAAAGTATTACATGATTTTTATGGGAAATTCTAGATTTATATTTTTTTCACCAAATTCAAGTAACATTTTGCTATTTTTCATTTTTGGAAACCTTTCATACATCTTATTTTAGTTGTTAATCTTTTGGAGGTGGATGGATGGGTGTCTTAATTTGACTCTTTCTTAAAAAGCTTAATGTACAAATATATCTATATAAACTTGTCTATACTTGTGGTACCACTACTACATGTACCATACATAGTTTACATGGTTAGATAAAATATATCTGTTTCCACCTATCCTAAGATTAAAATCAATTAAATTTTAGAGGGGAAGCATGCAGTGATAAAACAACTGAAACACACTGTAGGTAATGAAAAAGGAATAATAATACAGTTGTTGTTTTACAGTTTTCTCTTGGATCGCCTGTTACAGTATGAAAAGGTTGAAGATTCTTCAGGGGATTCTGATGCAACAGCGTCAAGTGACAGTGAGGCAGATGGCCACACTTCTGGCAAAAAGTAAGAGCAACTAACGACACATTGTGAATCATGTTGTAATAAAGCATCCAATGTTGTAGGTGAACTGATGTTTTTTTTAAAACTATATAGCAAAGTATTGAGACAACTTGATGCATTACTCTCTCGCAAAAGCTCTACAAAGCTTGTGCTTATAAATATTGACAATGTATAAATTTTTCTGATTTTTGACTTAATTTTCAAGGCAATTGTATTGCATGCGTGATTTAATATATTTATTAGTCTGTGTTCAATGGATGCATTATAAATATTATAAAACTTGAAGGAGGAAAATTTCGATGAGTCCAGGTCAGGCCCAGTTACCTTTTGGATCAGAAGCCTCTACTATATTTGGAAATCTTAGTATGGCTGCTCTGTTTCAAGCTGCTGTAAGTGCTAAAATCATTGAATTTATCTTGCTTTTTAAATTATTCTAGATTCGAACTTTAATGTTCATTCTTTCATTTGGTATCTTTTACAAACTTGTTTGCATTTTCAATTTCCTCTTCAAGCTAGAAGTAACTAATCAGTCCTTTAGTGACCAAAGTTGCATGGATGATGCATCTAGAGATGCACACTATAAGAGCATTGATATTAGATTTGCCCTATAAATGACATGTGTTATTTAAAAAAACTGCTTTTCATCCTTACAGGGCTCCTCTAGTTCAGAACCAGTGAAGAAGCGTTCTAGACCCTCCACAAAGAAATCAAAAGGTATGTGCAGGTGTTTGAAAGGAAATGTTTTATTCCATTTTATATGGGGACCTTTTGACTATAAGACTTAATAGATTACTAGTAATTTATTGACAAATAAGACTTGATCATTTTTGTTTGTACAGTGACTACAGTGTATCAACTTTTAGTCACAAGTAAACATCAAATTAATAAAAAAATATTTAGTACAAACTTCTCTTGTAAAAGAGTTTATAATGGCGTTTCTGATGTTTTATACAGCAAAATCAAAGATGGAGAAGGCTGAGAGCCGTATGACAAGAGAAGAGTTAGAGAGGCATTTAGAATCGCGACAAAATTCATTTAAAATCGAGAAAGCCCCGGCCATGTTACCCATGGAGATATTCAGCAATGATAACTCTAATCCTGATAGGTTTGTAATACTGTAAATCACTTTTTATTCGCGAGAACTTTATTTTCGCGTAATTACGCGAGGCAGTGTGCTCGCGAAAATTTAAATCTCGCGTATAATAGTATTTCTTAAGATTATATAAAGCAATAAACACAATTCATGAAAATTTTGTCTCGCTAATCAAGAGTCAATGACTATCTTGCTAAAACAAGGTGTCGCGAAAATTTAGTGTTCTACAGTACATGGATTAATACATGTATGATACATGTACAGTAAAACTAGTTTAGTACGAACATGGATATTGCAAATTCACGGATATAGCGAAGTTTTTATGAATCCCCAACTATATTAATTTTACGTATTCCATATACTGATATAACAAATTACGGATATAGCGAAGTAATTTCGCAGGTCCCAGTGACTTCGTTATAACCAAGTTTTACTGTACTGCTTGTACACAGTCTAAAGGCACAAAGTCAAATAATTATTACGATGAATACACTTATCAGAGTGTGTATTTTAATTACTAAGTAATCACATTCTCCTTGTGATCAGTATAATAATTTATCTGTATAATTTCAGTGAGACGGCTGACACAAACAGAGAGGACTATGATTCAGATCTGGTGATTGATGCTAGCTGATAGGAGACTCCACTGACTGATGGTGCTTAGTGAACAATTGACAAAGTGCTCCATGCTAATTATTACATCATTTACATGTTTCGACATACTTAGTATATAATACATGTACTTAGGGATTATGCCCGAACTACTACAGGGACATTGAGGAAGTTACATGTTATTCATACATGTACCGGTACATGTTGTTAATATCCATGAGCAAATATATGTGCAAGATATATGTGTAATTAAAAGTAACATGACAATGTCAAATATATGTATACATGTTTTGATTTGAATAGCATTCACAGAAGAATTTATTATAAATTTGACATTTTTACATACAGGTAACTCTCGATACCTCGAAGTCCGCGGGACCGAGGGAAAACTTTGAGAGATCAAGAGTTTGAGTTTTCAAGAGTCCGGAATTTCCCGGGTTTGTTTGGCAGGTTTTAAAATTAGTCTTACTGGATGTAATGATTTTCATGCAGTGCTAACTTTTCACTACTCACTGCAATATCATTGATTTGAAATTTAAAATATTGAAAAGATTTTTTGTTAAAAATACATTGGTATTTGACATTAGTTTCAAAATTTGTCAATTAGTAATAATTAATACGTATGTATGTGTTTAATTAAGAATGGTTTTTCAACATCCGTGAAGATTTGATTTGGAAATAAAAATTCTATTAAAGGCTTACCGTATAATCCCTATTAACCGCCCAGGGCGCTTAGAAAATTGCAAAAAGGGGGCGGTTATTTTGATATTCTCTTTATAATACAGTATGTCATTTTTTAACTTTAAAAAATTCAAAGATCCACTAAAATAATGTTGAACTTTACTTTAAGTGAAGATAATCCACCCAACTTATGCTATATGATTAATTTTCCACCGAGAAATTGAATAATAGACAAGTTACAAGTTCACTTTCTTCAAATTTTGGCAGACTTTTGATACGATTCTAGATGATTTTAATCACTGAAAGGGGCCCTTTTTCTGATAATTGAAAAAAGACCTGGGGGCGCTTATAGGGGCATAAAAATTGATAGGGATTATACGGTATTTGGCATGCTCAGATATGGATGTACCTTATATTGATAGCACCTCGATATTATACCTCTTAGACTGTGCCTTGGTTTTTCATTGAAATTCAGTGTACAAGTACATGTATGACTTTGTAATGTCAAAATACAAGAAAATTATTCTTTTAAAGACATAAACTGAAATTCAGTGTAATACAATTGCAACAAAGAAATGTTGTTGCTAGATTGTGTGTTAATATTTTCTCTTATACATGTACTGATTAAAATGTAATAAATGGTCAAAATTTTATGTTGATTTTTTTTATTATAGTGTTTTGCAAGTCAAAATAATTTTAATAAACTTTTATGATAAAGAAGATAGAAAGAAAAGGGATTATCGGATCATACATGAAATTAGTGCAAGTCATTTACAGTAAAACATATAAAGAAGATAATTTGCCTTTTTTTAATTTAAATTTAAGTTGATAATGTAATTTCAAGTCATGGGGAATGAAAATCACTTCACTGTATTGTAAGCATCAATCTATAAGTATGTTTTACAATATATAGTCTAGTCATGGGGAATGAAAATCACTTCACTGTATTAATCATGTTAATTGTAAGCATCAATCTGTAAGTAGGTTTTACAATATATAGTCTTTTCTAGAAGCTGCACATGAGACTTATTTATCTAAAAAATCAAAGATGGGCCATCTTTAAAAGTATTCTTTGATTGTGCTCTCCTGACTGAGTGACAAAATAGTCCAACTCCATCAAAACTTTTTTAAAATCTCCAGAGAATACTTTCTTAATTTCCTTTGGAAGTTTTCTCATCACATGTTAACATGATCAGTTACTTATCATTTTAATTTCACCTGAGCCAAAGTCTCAAGTAAGCCTTTCTGGTCAAAATTTGTCTGATGTCTGTCATCGCAAACTTTTCACATTATTTTTTTCATCCTCTCAAGAACTAATATTGGCCAATTTCAACCAAAATTGACATAGAGTGTCTTTGGGTAAAGTTTGTTGAAATGAAGGGCCCAACCTCTTCCAAGAGGAGATAACTAAGATAACTTAAAGAAATATTGAAAAATGGGAGGGTGTACTCAAATTCCTCTCAAGAATCACTGGACTACAAAAGATAAAACTTACGGTATGTGAAAGCTTCATGACACAATGTAGATTCAAGTTGGTTCAAATCATGACCCTGGGGGTAGGGTTGGGCCACAATGGGCGGGCGATCAAAGTTTTAATTATATAAAAATATATATGAAAAATAGAAATAATATCTGAAATATATAATAATGAAAAAATATTTAATCCTTAAAAATGTTCTCCTCAAAAACAGTAAAGCAATGATTTGACATATTTATATTGAAGCATCCCCAAATACATTGTATGTTACATTCAAAATTGTTAACTCATGACCACCACTGGTATAGGAAGGGACCATAATTGGTGATCCAAGTTTTACATGAAAAAACAGAACAAATCTTTAAAATCTTAATTCTCACCAAGAATAGCAAATCCATGATTTGTCATATTAATTTAGAAGCATCTTCAGGTAAGTTATAGTTGAATTTGTTCAAATGTCCTCTGGGGGTAGGACGGATCCACAATAGAAGAATAAACATATTAAAAAAATCTGATGAAGCCATGATTAGACAAAGAAAGATCGATGAAAGTATCCTCTTTTATTTAATAAACCTGTCCCAGATCTTTCCAGAATTGGGGGGGGGGGGTATATTTGTTCAAGATTTACAAGATTTTATTAGTCCAATTAATTGGGCCCCCAGAGGAGCAAAAGATTTACAAGATGTTCATATGCTCAAGTTTTCATTTTTAAAGTTGATTGGCTAAAAATGGCACAATTCAAAATTTTTTTAATGGTCCAGGAAGCAGTTTTGTTAATGAATTCTGGAAAATAGATTTTGAAAATTCAGTTTTGATCTTTCTGGAAAAAATATCTGAGCTACATATCAACATAATTTTTCATCCCGAGTCAAGAGAGGGCAAACAAACATTATTTTTAAGTTGGCCCTACATACTTACCCAATTTTTTTATGCTGAGCCAGCAAGCTTTTTGTTTTTGAAAAATATTGCCTTGTCTAATTTGACCTCATCCTGAGCAAGTGTATAGGCTTTTTATAAAGTACAGCAGGAGGCCTAGCCATTGCAGTAAGCAGAATTTGCCACTTTAAATTTCATAATGGGCAAAATTAAAGGTACTTGGACACAAATTTGAAGTTAATATTTTCTCTATAATATTACGACTCATATATTTTGATAGCATTTCACACAAAAATAAATTAAAATTAAAAGTGCAAGGATGTGTCAATCAAACCCGCCAAAAAAATTGAAGTTTTAATAACTTTTAAAAGAAATAAGATTTTTAATTAATTTTTTTGTGAAATGCTATTAAAATATATAAGTCGTAATATTATAGAGAAAATATTAACTTCAAATCTGTGTTCAAGTACCTTTAACCATTGGAAATAATTCTAACACAGCCTCTTCAATTGACAAGTTTACCTCTTCACTTCAAAATTATTTAAAAACCCTAGCAATGTTTTTTAATGCACGGTAATCCACTCAAAGACAAACAACATGAATATTTCACTTCATTCACAGAATTCTGCGAGTAAAATGAAGTGCAGTATTCATGTTGCTTGTCTTTGAGTGGGTTATCAAGCAAAAAAAAAAACATTAACAAAACTTTCTCTTCATAAACATATTTAATAGTAATTGATCAATTCATACAATCACAAACAGAACTAGTGCTAATTGTAACGGGGACCGTTACAGATGTTCCCCAAACGCTCCCCAAATCCCTTTTTGTGCCTAATTCCTGTAAGACATTTTAAAAAATATGATCAGTATCGAAGGATTTCATCAAAGAATAATGAAAGCTACAATGATATCAACTATATGTCATTTAACCCATTGTACGTGCAACCACGTGCATGTACATGCAAGATGATCACGGCATGTTGTCTAAACAATCATAATATCTATATATCGTGAGAATAAATAAAAAAAAAATTCTTTACAATATACATTTTATAATAATTTTTTTTTTTTTTAAATTGGCCATTTTGCGTATTTTGCGCATGTACGTGCATGAATGTATGTTCGTGCATTCAATTTTGATAGTACTATTATATAGGAATCTATTATACCTATTCATATTCTAAATTTTATCCTGTTTTGTTGAAAACTAAGAAAGTTTAAAGTTTTAAATTTTCTGACAATTAGATTGTAGCAATCGTGCATGCACATACTTTTCATGATAATTCTTATATACCATGCTTTAGATCTTCATAAAGTATAACAATGTTAAAAATTTCAAAGGATTTTGTCGAAAAACAAGAAAGATATTGAGACGTCAGTTTCAGCCCATCGGAGCGAAGTGCACGTGCATGCGCGTGAGATCTTGCTATTTTGACCATGTCCTCTAATCTATGCTTCTAATATATACTTATATTATAAGTTTCAAAACATTCCATCAAAAATTTAAATAGTTACGTCTATATCAATTATATTGGACATTTCCAGCGTTGCAAGTGCGCGCTCTTGCACGCACACGTGCATGCACATGCTTTCATGATAATTCTTTTACATCAGGTTGTAGATCTCCCTAACGTATGACTATATTCAAAATTTCAAAAGATTTTGTCAAAAAACAAGAAAGATATTGAGACTTTAGTTTCAACCAATCAGAGCGAAGCGCACGTGCATGCGCGTGAGAATTTGCTATTTTGACCATGTCATCACGTCTATACTACTAAAATATACTTATATTATGAGTTTCAAAGCATTTAATTAAACAAGAGATGTTTGTAAAACACTTATGCCCCCCTCCCCCCAAATTGGAATTTTTTTGTAAGTCCAAGGGGGCATAACTCTGTCAAAAATGGCACGATTGTACCCAAAACAAAACTTGACCTAGATATTCATCTGATTAATCTGTATATTAAATTTCATCTCAGTATGTGCAACGGTTGCAAAGAAAATGAACGGAAACTGCAAATAATTGAAATTTTTTCAAACTCCAAGGGGCATAACTCTGTCAAAAATGGTGCGATCGTACCCAAAACAGAACTTGACCTAGATATTCATGTGATATATCTGTATACCAAATTTGATTTCAGTATGTGCAACGGTTGCAAAGAAAATGAGCGGAAACTGCAAATAATTGAATTTTTTCAAACTCCAAGGGGCATAACTCTGTCAAAAATGGTGCGATCATACCCAAAACAGAACTTGACCTAGATATTCATGTGATATATCTGTATACCAAATTTGAATTCAGTATGTGCAACGGTTGCAAAGAAAATGAGCGGAAACTGCAAATAATTGAAATTTTTCCAAGTCCAAGGGGCATAACTCTGTCAAAAATGGTGTGATCGTATCCAAAACAGAACTTGGCCTAGATATTCATGTGATATATCTGTATACCAAATTTGAATTCAGTATGTGCAACGGTTGCAAAGAAAATGAACGGAAACTGCAAATAATTGAAATTTTTCCAAATCCAAGGGGCATAACTCTGTCAAAAATGGTGTGATCGTACCCAAAACAGAACTTGGCCTAGATATTCATGTGATATATCTGTATACCAAATTTCATTTCAGTATGGGCAACGGTTATGAAGAAAATGAACGGAAACTGAATGGACCGACAGACCGACGGACCGACCGACAGACAGCAGCAAAGCAATATGCCCTCCCTTCTTCGAAGGGGGGCATAAAAATAGAAAAGTTACAGCTATATCTATTATATTGGTCATGTCATTGCACGTGCGCGCTCTTGCAAGCACGTGCGCGCAAAATGACCTTCGTTCCGCAAATCTACATAACATGCCTACTGACCCTAAAAAGGTTTCACCTTAGTCGGATGTGTAGTTTACAAGATCACTCGTGGAAAAGATTTTCCCAGGAAGAAGAAAAATAATAATAATAAGAAACAGAGTAAAAACAATATGTTCCCCAACTTCGTTTGGGGAACATAATAACATACCAATACTGATTACCAATCTGATGATCTCTCCATAAAACTAAATGTCTACTTAGCAGCCATTTATTGTGTATATCTACTGGGACTTGAATCGTTTGGGAGAGGGCCCATTATCCTCACCCCCCTCTCCACTACCACAGTCTTCCTCTTGTGGGTCTAAATGATGGGTGACCTGGAAGTTTCCAGCAGTGTCAATAGGTAGAGAGCTATAATTGATACACACTATGTTTGCAGCAGAATCTACAGAGGATTCTGGTAGTTTTAGAGAGTCTCCATTTTCCTGAGCTTCAATGTCGCCTGTGTCCGCCTCCTCCTCTTCTTGATCAGTGGAGTTGTCAAACGTTTGGGAGACCGTGAACAGTTCAGAATTACTAGCAGCAGTCTCCTTACCTACATTATTATCCGTGTGTTTTAAGCTTGTAGTAGCCTCCTCAGGGGAGGTTACTGTCTGTAACTTGTATTCTCGTTTTATACAAAGTAGTTGTTGATATATTAAATCCCTATGCTGGGTTTCCAGTTGCTTCATGAGATTTTCTATGTTCTTGTCTAATGGTACACTTATTTGTTCCATTAAGTCATGTTCTCTTTGTTTACTTTTTTGGAGCTTGTCTTTCAAATCTTTGATCTGCAATAAACCAATACACATGAAATGAGATACATGTAAATCTACTTAAAATATTAGATAAAATTACATGTAGATAAACCTGCTAAGTAGAGTTTGCACAAAAAAAATCTACAAGTACATCATTAACAAACTCTTAAGTCAAATGTTTTATTTTTTCTAATATGTTGGAAGTTTTGATGTTCATTTCATTGTAACTAACATTTGAAACTCATTTATTCATGTAGCTATTTGAACACCTTGTGTCTGGAGCACTGTAGAATCAAGCATGTTATAGCTGAAATATTAAAAAATTCTCACAAAGAGAAAGCTGTGCTTGATAAGGAGTATTTACTGGTAAATGTTTTGTTTAACTAATACATGTACCCAGGTGCTTGTAAACCTTCTTGGGTACATGTACTAGCTTTGTCTAACATGAAGTTCTTACCTCTCCTTTAAGTTTTTTATCTGTTTTATTTTTTATCCATAAGTTCTCTATGAATCCTTACCTCTCTATATTTTTTTATGACAAGTTCTTGACTTACAAGTACCTCTGCATGCAAATTATTTCTGACTGAAAGTTCTTGACTCTGCTTGTAGGTTCTCTATGACCATAAGTTCTTACCTCTCCTTGTAAGTTCTACAAGACTGTAAGACTGTAAGTTCTTATCTCTGCCTGTAAGTTTTCTATGACTGTAAGTTCTTACCTCTGCTTGTAAGTTCTCTATGACCATAAGTTCTTACCTTTGTAAGTTCTCTATGACTGTAACGCTGTAAGTTCTTACCTCTGCTTGTAAGTTCTCTATGACTGTAAGTTCTTACCTCTGCTTGTAAGTTCTCTATGACATAAGTTCTTGCCTCTGCTTGTAAGTTCTCTATGACTGTAAGTTCTTACCTCTGCTTCTAAGTTCTCTACAACTGTAAGTTCTTGCCTCTGCTTTTAAGTTCTCTATGACTGTAAGTTCTTGCCTCTGCTTGTAAGTTCTCTATGGCAGTAAGTTCTTACCTCTGCATGTATGTTCTCCATGACTGTAAGTTCTTACCTCTGCTTGTAAGTTCTCTATGACTGTGAGTTCTTACCTCTGCTTGTAAGTTCTCTATGACTAACTTAAGTTGAGCCTCCATCTGCTGTTTGCCCTCCTGTAATTTCTCATATTTCTGCTGCAGTTCTTCTAATTGGTTGTCTGAGTTCTGATGGACAGCATGTTCTTTCTCTTCCTCTATCCCAACATCCTATATAACAAAATACAGGCCGTTTACATTCTCATTTGTTCTGAAATGCATGTACCGGTATTTATGCAGTTGTTTCATTTTTTCCAAGGAGGAAACTTTCCCAAGCATATGATTAGAATTTTGGTTCTGTATTATGAAGCTTCTGAAATCTTAGTATGAAAGAAATTTTATCATTTTATTTTCAAAAGTAATTTACCTGCATTAAACTAGAACTGTCCAATAGGGACAAATACCCCCACTGGGTTTTTCAGAGTAGGTGCCAATTCAGAAATATTTTATGGATCTAGTAAGAGGTGTTGATCACTATTGTCTAATAAAGTGCCCCGCCACAGCATGATACCCCCATCAAATATTGTTCGATAATCATAAATTGGTTAGGGTGCAAGAAAATCAAGTAACCTTGATTAACAGATTGACACAGATTTCAATGATCTAATTTCCATTTCTTATCATGCTTAAAATATTGTACATACATCTCTAAGAGACTTACAGTGTAGGGATTAATTAAATAATACATCATATAATTCTAAACTGGCTGTGTTAGAGCTTAACAAATATCCATCTGCAGCTTTAAATTGTTTATTGCATATTTTATGAAATAATGGAAATGCTACAGTCTAATAAAAAAAAAATCAAAAATCAATTATTCTTTAGACTATAAAATTCTAAGTGAGACATGACTGCAATTTGTTGCAAATATATAATAAAGTGCCGCGCCACAGCATGATACGCCCGTCAAAAATATTACAATTTTCTTGAACAGTTTAGGTGCAAGAAAATCACATCAAACTTGCCCGTGATTCTAAGATTTCGATGATTTTTCCATTCCTTAAAATATTTATCCATCCCCTGTGATGTAGGCATCAATTATAATAAATATTACATAACTGATAGATTTCTGTGCTGCTTGTGTTAGACCTTGTCAAATGCCCATCATCAAATTAGTCTTAACAACTTAATCTATACCAAACTAGAAAACTGACCAGTCAGCAAGGGCCCCGCCATGGGGTAAAATTAAAAGGGTGCAGCCTACGGAATGATTAAAAAATGTACGAAGAATAAGCAACAGCAACTGTATTCTTAAAATTTCAAGATAATTCCTGAACATTCAAAAATCTGAAAATAATATTCTTGTACTTACATTAGGCAGTAAAGAACGACTTAACATTGAATGTATATTTAAACAATTATGAACCCCCCTCCCTTATAAATTAAAACGCTTGTGTTATATAAAATCCAGCCTTCAATGAATGCAAATATCATGAAGGCTTGACCTTAACTTTGAACAAACAGCAGTTGCAGACAAAGGTTAATCTACCCCACCACCCCAGCTCTAAACCAGGTGACATAGAGAAACAAACTTAGCTCCAAAATATGTATTTCTGCCTACTGAACTACCATACCAAATTTGTACTTGATTGGGCAACCATAAAAAAAGTTGCCCATTCATTCTTATGCATAGTTAAGGAATCTACCCCACCACCAAACCAGAAGACATAGAGAACTAAACTTAGCATCAAAATATGTATTTTTGCCTACTGAACTACCATTCCAAATTTGAACTTGATTGGGCAACCATAAAAAAAGTTATTAAAAAAAAAAAAGAAAATTTGTGGACGGAAGAGTGACAGACGGACAGACAGACGGACAGACAGAGTGATTACTATAGTGCACCCGCAAATCCTTGCGGGGGCCCTAATTAATTTTGAAAAAAAAGGCTGGCCATCAAATGACATGTTATAAACTGACCAGCAGTTCTTCTGTCTAATCCCCAAAGGGTACAGATAAGAGACAGCTAGCCTTCCTACATTGAACTCATTAATTAATCTTTAACTGGATGCTTGTCTACTCATTACTACCAAGAGATGAATGGATCTGCACTATCTACTATAATTAATTTTGTTTAAACACATATAAAATACTCTCAGATTTTTTTTTGTTGAGATTTAATTTCCAACAGGTTTTAAAATGTAATTCATATGGACATGCTGATTCCACCCCACCCCAAAAAATTAGTTTTTAAATAAATAATATTACATAATATCAGATTAGTCTACAATGCAATATCAAATTAGTTTTACATGTAATTACTTTTCATCAAATTAAGCTAGTCAACAAGAGCTATAGCCTATTTTTAATCAAACAGGCTTACCCATTTGCCTAATACTCAAGGGACAGATAACACCAATGCTCTGTCAGTTAGCTCCTTGCACTCAAAACCCATTAATTTCTCTCTAATTTGACATGCAATTTTCTGTTATCAAAATTCTTCTTGACCAGTGCTTGATAATTACACTCAAGGGAGAGGTAGGATTTCTCTAACATACATTATATTTGTTATAGATTGCTGTCAAGTATATGCTTTAATAAAATAAGTATTTTCTTGATTTAACACTTTTTTAATAAGGACAGTGCAATACTCTTACATTATTTGGGATGTGTAAATAAATAGTAAAAAGACACATTTTTTTTTAAAATTTCACTTAAATTAAAGGTCACAGTGACCTGGAAATAGGTCGCGACACACCTTCTACCTAAGATGCATAAACTGGCCAAGTTTGATGATTGTAAGTCTTATGGTTTTCTTGTTATGGGCCGGAAAGGATTTTTCCATATTTGGCTATAACTTCTTAATTAAAGGTCAGAGCGACCTACATTTTGTGCGCGACACACCTTCTACCCAAGATGCATCAGATGACAAAGTTTGATATTCCTAGGCCTAGTAGTATTAAAGTTATGAGCCGGAAACGAAAAAGCTAACAGACAGACGGACAGACGGACGGACGGACAGACGGACGGACACGAAGCCTATAACATAATACGTCCCGTCTTAAGACGGGCGTATAAAAATTGAAATGTAATTTTTTTTTTCAATGAACACATGTATAATTAATTTTAATTATATTATACAATACTAATTCAGTTTTAATCATACACTAAAACATCAATTTGTTTTAATTACATTACACCAATTGAAAGATCTTTATCTGAACTACAGCCATCAAGAACTCTTAATTAACACAAGCAACTATAAGGACATTTCTTTTTGCCCAACTCCCAAGAGAAAAATTAAGATAGCACTACATGATGCTCTTGTTAGTTAACTCCCGATAAAGAACTCATTAATTTCTCTATAATTTGATATGCAAATTTCTGCTATCAAAATTTCTCCTTGACCAGTGCTTGATAATTATGCCCATGGGACAAACTGAATTCCCTTCAAATCATTAGCATTTGTTACAGAATTTGCTGTAAAGTATACGATAAAAAATAAGTTTTTACTTAATTTAGCACTTTTTAATAAGGATACAACTATATTTTTTACATTTTTTAGGATTATGAAATTTAAAATTTTAAAGACTTATTTTTTTTTAAAATCACTTAAATTAAAGGTCACAGTGACTTTGAAATAGGTCGTGACACACCGTCTACCCAAGATGCATAAATTGTCCAAGTTTGATGATTGTAAGTCTAATAGTTTTCTAGTTATGAGCCAAACAAAATCACAAAATAAAAAAGAAAAAACGCCTGTAAAATTCAGAAAAATCATCCAATCATGATTAAAATCCCAGGTGCACACCTTCATACGGTGAATAATAAGTGTATAAATTTTCAGACAAATCCATCCAACAGTCTCTGAGAAACGGTCCGGACAAAATCTTGTCTACAGACAGACGGACAGACAGACAGACGGATATGGTGATTCCAATATACCCCCCTAAACTTCGTTTGCGGGGGTATAAAAAATACATCTAACTGAACATGTTGAAAAGATGCTGGCATTGATTGAAATAAATAAGAAATTGAGAATACAGTAATTGTCAGACTAAATTGAGTTATACTAGTAATCTAATAATAAATGTCATTGTCAACTCTTTACATGCTTCCTGAAAACTTGGATGGAAGATACAAGCAAATAATCAACCCCTGTAATAATATGAGACGTACTTCACTAGAAATGATCTGAGTGGTATATGAGCCTCCGTCCTCTGATTCACCCTGGTCCTCGTGGATGATCATTATGTGAGTTTGTGGAGCATCTGAGGAATCTACAGTCTCATTGGCAGCCACAGACACCTGCATCGTACCATCTAGTGGCTTCCCATTAGTCATACTGACCTGGGTTGTCTGGGGGTTCAACAGGGCTGTGAGGAGACAATAAGAAGCATTTAAATACATGTACTATAAAAAGACATAAGAACAGAGATACATGTATATTACATATTTTCAGAATCTAGCAGCCTTGGACAAATTTTTAAAGCCAGGTATGATTTTTCTTCATAGGAATTTAAATAATTCAGCACACAAGTACTGTTTGAGCAGCAAGCACATATTCAGTAATTTCTTCATATGATATGTGGAGCATATATTCTAGAATATAGATACATGTATGCTAGGAATGTCAATAAAGTTTGAGCTATTGGAGCTATTCTGTGGTTGAACTGCCAGCTCAAATCCACATGCTTGACTAATCTAAGGATAACAAGTTGGTGTTCAAGGTAAAGAAGTCCAGTGGCACTTGTATTCTACTTATATACGCTGTAATTTTCTAAAGTGAAAGTAGACTTATTTTGTAATGCTTACACTTATATCCCGCTTCAGATATACTGGTGGACATAACGGCCTGAGTAAGAACTGGGTGGATGGACAGTTCTGTTGGCTCCATGGTGTCATCTTGGTAAGAACATGGATTGTTGATCTCCTACAGTTAAAAATATTATACTGAATCTTTCTGGACATATATATATATATAACTTTCAATTTTCAGAATTAAGAAATACTAATTAAATAACTTTTAGATAAAAAAAAAACAACATGCAATTGTCTTTCATAGCTTATGCATAACTTATTTAATGTAATGTATTATGCTTTTAGAGTTTTCATTAATTGATGGATTGGAATCCTGCCTGAGCAATTTGGATTTGAAAGGTGGTCTGTGGATTTCTAAAGTGGGTCTTGTAATGTTTGATAGCCTCATCTCTTCTGTTAAAACCATTCCGACACTTGTAGCAATGCCAGTGAGCTCCTTTAAATTTCTTTTCCCCTTTGATGATACCAACAATATCACAATGATCACAGCATCTTAAAATTTTCAGTCCTGTAAAATAAAATTCAGTAATATCAGACCTGGTAAATTTAAAAACATATAAAATGGTAAATAATGTAATTTTCTCCTAATGACCTGTAATTGAGATATTGCCTCTATAACAAACTCCCTTACAAAGAAATGAAGTACAATATCAGGCATTTGTGTTTGATTGCAGAGAATAATTTTTTTCCCTGTATAGTTATATTGAATATCAATTGAGTTGCTGATATCAATTTCTGGGTGTTTCAATTTAGAGACATTTTTAAAACAATTTAGAAATCATAGCAAATATAAATGTTTATACATGTATATATTACAATTACTGTCAGTTCCAAAATGTTAATTAAAAGAGATACTTTTCTTATATATCACTTTGAAATTGATCATAACTTCTTCCATTGACTGACAACAAATAAAACTTCCAACATAGATCAATGAAATTAACAAACCTGCAAAATCTATTCCTTTGTCAACATGTTTCACACGAAAATGTGCTTTCAATATAACTGGATCATGATAAAAATCTTTCTTCACACAGAAAGGACAATGCATGTGAATTGAGTTGTCGGGACATCTGTGGTCCATACATCTCACTGGATTATAATTGTTCTCTGTGCCTTTTATTCTAACACTAGGGTGTGTCTGAAAATATACAAACAGCTAATTTAAACAGTTTCATGAATATACTATATACATAAAACCCACAGGGGCTTGCTCCAGGTATGTAATAATTATTTATTACAAAATCATATATGGTAATACAGCTTACTCCACTTATAAAGTATTGAACTCGCTTATTTTGAAATTCCGCTTATTTTGAAATAAAAATAAATCCCCAGTTTTTGACTCTCATACTCTTTGCATCAAAATAACAGTTATATTGAGAAATTCCATGTCTTTATTGAAATGTGCAATATTTGAAGCATTTCCCCATAGGTGATAATGAGTTGTTTTCATAACGTTTATAAAGCTTACTCATTTATGGCTGAAATAGTTGGTGACAGAAATTATGCCTGACTGACCAGTTGATATAAAAAGGTGTGAATAATTAAGTTTTCACCTGATGTGTTTTTATACTGCATGCTCTTACGAATAAAATTATTCACTGCTAAATTCTTTGTTTCCATGTATATAATACGGAAGTATTTAGGCTAAAGGCAATATAGTAACCCCCACAGATCTAGAAAAAACTTATTAATAACTTTCAGATTAAATATGTACTGTTAATGGCTGATGATAAGCCTAAATTTGAAATAGCTTTAGATTAACCCGAGCATTTATATACAATTTTTCAGCAGTAAAAGTTTTTTGATTGAAAATTCTCCAGAATGTAAATAAATGCGATCGGGAAATAATAATGAGGTGAAGATTGTCTTATCAATACAACAGAAAGAAAAAATTTTATTTAAACTTTCAAGGACTAATATTCCATGTAATCTGTACACTGTTTTAGGTAAACAATGACCAAATTAATTTGTTCGGGTTTGTTCTTTATTTTAAGTTCGGGATTGAACTTTTAATAAAAAAAATGGCGGCTTCAAGATTTCGCTTATATTGAATTACGGATATATTGAAATAATTTGCATGGTCCCCTGAATTTCAATATATCCAGAGTAGGCTCAGCTGTACTAAAATAGCAGTTTTAGTATTACCGTATATATGATTTTTAATAAATAACTATTACATGCCCGGAGTAAGCCCCTGTAAGTGATAAAGACTATACAAAGAGAATTTCCATGTCCTTTCTACGGGAAATGTGCAATCATTGGACATTTCCCATAGAAGTTGTCACATTCTTTTGGCACCATAAATTGCTTACTCGTTAGGAAAAAATAGATTACATGTGGGCCCCCTCTCCCGGCATGTTTTTTCACTAAAGTGAGAAAATGGCGCAGCAGTGACCCTTCACTCTAATAGAGAAGAAGAAAATCTTACTAATTATGCTAGCCTACTACCCAATACTTACCATGTACCAGCTGCCTACAGGGTTAGTAAAGGCTTCATTCTATTTCTGGTCCCTGTGAGCTCATTTATCTTTGTTTTTCTTTAATTTAAAACAAGTTGATGATTGAAATTCTGTCAATTTCATGCAGATTCGTTTTCTAAACGTCCAACTTTTAATCTGTCAAGTTTCTGTTTGATTGTCTAACATCCTTAAACAAAGTGACATGACCCCCAATTTGCAAGGTACATTGACGCAGTACTTACGACAAATGTATTCATCGCGAATAGTGTTTTCCAGTTAATTTGTATTTAGATATTCATGTCTGTCAAAGTTGAGCTTCAAGTTTGATATTCCCTCTGCCTTTCTATGTGTGTAACGTCAGAAAATTCTGCTTATGCAGAAAGTTGTGTGACGTCATATATTTGGTGGTTTTAGTATAAACAACTCGTACGACGAATAGTTTTTTCTTTTCTTTTTTTTTATTTTAAATTTTGATTCATAATTTAAGTACCGTTATAAATATTTAATTCCTTAAAATGAAAGCAAACAATTTTGGTATTTTTTCTTTATCTTAAGATTTTTAAAAAATTATTTCCTCTGAACACCGATCCCGATGAAAAATACAACACGACCAAGCTTGACCTTATGATCTTATTCAGCTGTTCAGACAGCAGTGAGCACAAGAGAGAAAGGTACATGAGGTGTCATTTGTTTGTATACCGGTATTATTATATGTAGTGTTATATTTTGATTGTGTTTCGAATTATGTATTAGGCCTACATTTTTGTCTAAACACAGTGGTAATAATATCATTCAGTTTCATCAGACATAATACATAAAAACAAAAAGTGAATGAGGTTATTGCAAAAGGTCTATTTAAACAAGAAAAAGGACTTTGAACGAACATTACAACAATTTAACGAAGCAGATGCCAGATGTTCATAATATTGGTAAGGTTTTTAATAGTTAGTACCGGTACGTATTATTTATCATCTGATAATCATTTGTAAAGTCAGATCAAGTACATTTTTTTCCAAAATAATAAATGCTACATGTATGTGTCTTAAAACAAGATGAGATCTGGAATAAATGCAAACATTGATTTACTTAATACTGAGAAATTGTCTACTCTGAAAATCTTATATCACCATTTGTTAGGGGGTTGCTTGATAAATTTATAACTAAAAATGTGAAACACGAATGATCATTTTTACCTGTGGTTCAAGTTATATTTATTCTGAAAATTAATAAGGAATAACAATTTTTTTGGTTTCATGATGTGATCAGTCGATTGGCTTGCGTGATAATTTGCATAAACGTGAAGGTGTTTATTGAAAAAAATTATCACGCAAGCCAATCAATTGATCATGGTCATGAAATAAAAAATCTGACTGTTATTCGATCCTTATATTTACATTCACATAATTCCAAAATTCACTTGCTACAGGACTCGCTTCCGTCTCTATTTGTCCCGACCTGCCATTTTTTTTTTAAAACTGCGCCTATCAATGATTCAGTAGATTTATGTAGAGATAAAGTCGTTGCAGTTGGCATATTTTACAATTTCCTCTTCTTCTCCTGAAGCACTGGGCAAATTCCAAGGAAACCTGGTACAGATTCTTACTGGATAAAAGAGATTCTAGTTTTTTCATATAAAGGACACAGGTAGTGTACTATATGTAAGGGTTAATGTATGAGTACATTCCTTAAAAGTAATGGAGCCGAGGTACCGGGTTCGTTTGTCACCATGGGCACTATAATTTTCTTTAAGTGAATATGACCTTGATAAAATTTTCTAAGTTCTTTCCTCAGTAGAGGCGTGGGAAGGAGAATATAAACAATTCAACATAAAAAATTCTGTTTTCAATGTACTGTAAACGTATTACATTTGGCTGTGTATTCTTTTTAACGGCTTTGGCGGATTGCAGTAACCGCTAAATCAAGTACATAGCTAAATGTCTTGCACGTATACACAGAAAAAAGAATATGAAGAAATGCACTAAATCAAATCTACGCTAACTTATTCAAAAGTCAATTTCCGCCAAAATGAAATATTGTACATGCTAAATATAATACATTTACAGTAATTTGCAACTCTCCATTCCTGAAAAATAAAGGAGCGCTCAAACAAAAGAGTGATGTCACAGGTGGATTTTACTCAAGGTTAAATGTTAAAAAAATCATGACCCCTTGGGTAGGGTGTGGCCTTCATGAACGATCAATGTTTTGTATAGAAATACATAAAAAGTCTTTTAATTAAAATCTCTTTCCCAGGAACAACAAAGAGTTATGTTTATTGAAAAACAGATAGTGTTACAAATTCTACTTTTCAAATCATAACCTCTGGAAATGTTCAGGAACTTAATTGGCTATCAAATTTTACATGAGAATACATAGGAAAACAATTCTACTGATGAATAAGGGGCCACAGTTACACGTATGAGTGTTGCGGCCCTTGGGCCTCTTGTTTATTTGTTTTTATATTCCCCTCTTTTGTCAGTGAAAATCTGCCATGTCAGCATTCCTTACAGCAAATTGTTTTTAGTTTCAATATAGATGATGGATGATGTCCACCAGAAATGGATGGTGAAATCGTTTAGCTTTGCAGAGGAAGCTTTAGAAGCTGGGGAGGTACCTGTTGGGTGTATTATGGTGTATAATGATGAAATTATAGCTGTAGGAAGAAATGAAGTCAATGAAACAAAAAATGCCACCCGCCATGCTGAAGTAGTAGCCATTGACCAAGTGTTGACATGGAGTAAAGACCATGATATAGATTATAGAAGTGTATTTAATAAAACAGTTTTATATGTTACAGTAGAGCCATGCATCATGTGTGCTGGTGCTCTGAGACAAGTGGAAATCCCCTTGGTTATATTTGGATGTCGTAATGAACGGTTTGGAGGTTGTGGATCCATTTTGTCCATACATGATGCCAATATTACAAGTCTTGGACCTTCTTTTCAGTGTATAGGTGGATTAATGAAAGAAAAAGCTGTTGATTTGCTGAAAAAGTTTTACCAAGGGGAGAATCCAAATGCCCCTGAAGAAAAACGGAAACTAAAGAAAGAGGAATCAAAGTAGATAAACAATTGACATATTTTGTTCTATTTCCAGATGATGGACAGTGAAACTGAACTGCCATATATATCCAAAATAAAACTGTGTTCTTGAAGCCATATGTAATGAAATTCATCTAAAGGACTGTGAAATATAAATGAACTGAAAGCTGTCTCAAAAGGACTTGAAATATCTGTTGATTATTGGCATTGAACTTGAGAGTCAATATTAATCAAAGACATGTTAAAACTTACTAGGAAATGTGTCTGTATAAAGTCAACTCTTTTCCAAAGGAATTATTCCATACAGACAGGAAGAAAGAAGCTTGTGATTCTGGGAACAGGATGGGGTGGGTACAGCTTGCTCCGGAATATTGATAAGAAGATGTACGATGTGGTGGTGATAAGTCCCAGGAACTACTTTTTATTTACACCATTATTGGCTAGTACAACTGTTGGAACCTTAGAATTCAGGTGCAGTTGATCATGATATTTGTAAACAAAAATAGTTACTTAGTATTTATGTCTGTATATTAACACATACATTTTAATTTTTATGCTCCCATAATCAAAGTGAAAATAAAAATTATTTTCTTTTCCTTTACTGCTGCAAATAAAACAAACAGTTTTAATATGTTAATATTTTAGTTGTTTAATCTTTTGGAAGTTGTACAGACATCTCATCTCATCTCTGAAGTCATGCACTCTGTAATTTCCTACAGGTCTATCATAGAACCAGTGAGGAATACACATTTCCGTCAGACGGGAGACTTCCATTTGTCATATGCTTCCAAATTAGACATGAAGAATAAAGTTCTCCATTGTGAGAGTGTACTACAGCCAGGACTTGGGTATACAATTAATTACGACAATCTGGTGATTGCAGTCGGGGCTCGGAGCAACACATTTAATGTTCCAGGAGTGGAGAAGCATGCTTTTTTCCTCAAGGTAAAATAATTGTTAAAATATTTTACAAGCTTATTGCTCCTTTTGTGAGTATTTGATTAACAACCCTTAGCAAAATCAAATTGATTGAATTTTGATTTATTTTGTAGTTGTTTTCTGAGCATTGGATTTTCTCAACTGTGCTTCCTTGCTAAATTGTATGGGAAAAAAGCATAAATTCTTGAACATTGGATTTTGATTTATTTTGCATTGACTTTTGATTGAAAATGGCTGGATTTTTGCGAAATATGTAAATGCATTAATTATTTCCCATCACGGAAAAATGCAAAATCAATGCAAAACAAATGAAATACAGTATGAAGAGATGTCACTTAGCATTATTGTGACATCACAGAAAAATGTTACTAATACATGTGTGAAGTTATGAAACTTGGAAGTAACAACATTTAACAAACAATATCCAGCATCATGCTCAATGCAAACATTATTACTAATAATCCATCACATGTGAAAAAATTATCAAGTAAATGAATTACTAACTTCCTATTAATTAAATGTTACAACATGTAAAACCCAAAAATCACTGACACAATAACAGTTTTGTTTTCAGATTCAATGTCTGATAGCAAATAAGTTTCTCAGTGTTATTAGTTTTTGTGGAAATGAAATTTTTTTTCCAAACTATAGACTGCTTTAAATTTATTGAACATTTTCGGTGGCAATTTTGATTAATAAATGATTCTTTTAAATAAAAAAGAAATGAGAGTCAAGACTGCATGGTGTTTCGAGGTTTGGTGCATAATTAGTAATTCTGTAGATATCGATATATCGTGATACACATGTTGTAAGGAGGACGATATGCATATCGATACATATGAGAGAAATAATACTTGGCAATATGTGTAATGATGGCCAGTGATTAAGAATAAATTTTGAGAAAAAAAGAAATAACTTACTGAAAATCTTCAACAGACTTCTATTTTTATTTGTTTATTTAACATATGGGGTTTAATATATAAAATAAATAGGTTAAATATAAATGTAGATATGAAATAAATAATAATTAACACCATTTGAGTAAAATATTCTTGTTTTACAACATATTAACAATTATTTTGAATAAATTATTCTTATTTGCAAAGAAATAATTTGTTTATTTCAATTTCAAAAAAAGATTTTATAAGGAATTAAACATATCGTGATACAAATATTTCGTATTTTCATTTGTTTTTGCTAAGGGAAGTAGACTAGTACACTAAGATACATAATTCTGTATACTGCATTAATTATTTCCCCTTTCCTAAGTGATACGTATCGATATAGTGTGAAAAAGTTTATTAGTATCAACATGTATTTTGTTTTCAGATTCAATGTCTGATAAAGTGTTTCTTAAATGAAATTTAAACAATTTTAATCACTGCTACCTGTATAGGAATGAAATGTAAAATAATAAACAGATAATTGCTTATATCATAACTCTTTCAGGATATACCTCATGCAAGGAAAATAAGAAATAGAATCATAAACAACATAGAGTTGTCACTTCACCCAGGGTTAGATGAAAGTGATAGGAAGCGGCTACTGAATTTTGTGATTGTTGGAGGTGGACCTACAGGGGTGGAGTTTGGTGCTGAACTATATGACTGGATTCAACAGGTATAAAAGAACATTTTCTACATATTCCATATGATTTACAGTAGGATAATACCCTCCGGTAACTTTATTCTAGAGGCATGTTTAGAAATACTCCCCACTACAGCAAATTTTTGAACTCACCATTACAACTGAAGATTTCAGAGCAACTTGGTGAAGAGCAGTCAGATTTATATTTCAATTAAACTGCAGTCGTTATTTTTAAGACTAGGGGAATGGAAGGTGACTAAATATTACTAGTGATCATGGTGATATGTGATGGGATAGTTTTAATGTCTTTTTTTCCCTCATTTTTCAAGAAACAGAAACAAAAATTAAATATATATAAATCTGACTATTTATCATGTTTATAAAGTAGAATCAGTGGATTAATTCTTTTGATATGCCTCAGATAGATAAAATCTTAACGAAAATTTATGATAAAAAAGGAACTAATAAGAGCTACAATGCTATAAATGGTTAAATTTTTGTGAAAAAATTCCAATGATGATACAACTTTGATTCTAACATAAACTAGGATGGCCCAGGCCCAAAATAAGGGACCTTTGCATCTCATAAAATTACAAAATAGCCATCAGTGGCAGATCCCCCTTCCAAAGCCACCACTGGCAATAGTCTATGATATCATACTTTCATGTTAAGTAGCTTAATGTTAGGTAAAATCATGACCACCTTGGCCAAAATGGTACATGATGAAATGATACAAGTAAAACATATACTCTGTTGTAGGATGTAGCCCGAGTCTATCACCAGAGGAAGGACCAGGTCCACGTCACCTTGATAGAATCCAATCAGATTCTGTCTTCATTTGATGAACGTCTCAGGAATTACGCTGAAAAGAAAATTAAAGAAAGAGATCGATTTAAGCTTGTCAAATCATCTGTCACAGGTAATTCATACTTATTCTGAAGTCTAATGTACATGTACATGTATATGACCAAGCAGCTAAACATGAACTTGATGGATTTTAAAATACATTACTGAATTATAGATAAAACAAAGTATTATGATTGCTAAATTTCATCTTCCATGTGTTTTAGAGGTTACATCAAACTGTGTTAAGTTAAGTAATGGTGAGGACTTACCATGTGGTCTAGTGGTGTGGAGCACTGGTTTATCACCGACATGGTTTGTCAAATCACTGGATGTAGAGAAAAACAGAAGTGGACAGGTATTTTTCAATATCCTGATGCATTAGGCAGGATACACTTTGAATAAGGCCATGCAAAGTGTGCAATGTTTAGAGCTTCCTTAAAGATTTGTTCTTTATAGTAAAATCCTATTTTACTCTGTCACTGTTGCACATGCAAAACACATCAATACCATTTTTTGCTTGCTGAATGAAATATGGAGATAATCAACTGTTAGTATTAAAGCTTAGATTAAAATGTCCATTCAAAAAATACTGAGTCTGATCATATTTGCAAGTTGTTTTAATTTTATTGATTTAGCAATAAAAAGGATCACATGTGACATTGCTAGGCTGCCTCACAGTTTTCACTTTTAGTATCAAATATCAATCAAGTGTTTCTAAAAGTGAATAGTCCTGAAAGTTGTCATAACAGTAAGTTGATAGTCATGTGGTGGAATAGTTTTTCCCTGTTGTGTTTACATCTTTTAACACATACATGGCTTTTGACAAAAGAACAAATGTGGATAAAATTTTAAGTGAATGTAAAAACTGTTTTATTTTTGTATTTTTCAGATTCTGACTGATAAAAGTTTGCATGTGATAGGAGACCCTAACTACAGTGTGTTTGCTATGGGTGATTGTGCAGACATAAAAGACAACTCACTTCCTTGCATAGCACAGGTAAGCAGGTATCTCGACGCCTACCATATAACCATAGCAAGTGAGAAGGCAGCTTACATCTTTATTTAGCACAGGTAGGCGGATAGTACAATTCCCTGTTTAGTATAGATAAGCATGTGACTCGCTTTTGTGTAAAGCACGGGCAAGCAAACAGCTCACTTCCTTTAGCAGACAGCTTACTTCCTTGTATAGCATAGGTAATCAACAGCCCTTTTCTGTGAAAAAATCAGAGAGGGCTACATTATTGCAGCTAAGGTGATCAACAGCCCACTTCTGTGAATAGCACAGGTTAACATGCAGCTCATTCTTTTTCAGTTGATTTATTTTCTTGAGGATTGTAGTGTAAGAGACATAGACACATGAAGTGATGAACAACATTTAATACTGAATTCATCTAATGTCTACTATGTCTTATGTAAGACTGATAACACAAATAAATTTTTCAGTCAATCAGTAAACATACAATAATAATGTCAATGTTTGTTTATTGCATTTACTTGCATGTACTTTTAATTTCAGGTTGCTGAGAAACAAGGCGAATATATAGCAAAATATCTGTGTGGAAAGATAGACAAGGGCAAGGACTTTACGTTTCAGAGTGCGGGAATGTTGGCTTACATAGGGCGTTACCAAGGGGTTTCCGATATTCCAAACCTGAAGATGCAGGGTAAGATGAAATTCTAAAATTGTACTTATTTTTATGAATCAGGTCCTTCAGCATTTCCCTCTATTATATCATTCTACATCATAAATCAGAGTTTTGAGGCATTCTTGAATTAAGCTGACAAAGGATTGTGCGCCCAAAGATTAAAAAAATATGAATCCTACTAGAATAAGTTTCCTAGGCTTTACATGCTGTACACTTAAGACATACAAAGACTTTTATATGTGTATACATGTACTTCAGAAAAGTGAACTGATAAAAGTGTCTTGTACAATATAAAATTTGTCCATGAGAATAAAACCACTTATGCTGAAAAATGTCAAGTAGCAAACTTTGTGTGCTGGGAATATAAAATCTGATGATGCCTTTTAAATAAACAGAGTTTGGAATTCTTTCTTAAAGAGGAAGTATAGATTTGCTGTTAAAATTGTTTTGACTTTGTGATATTGTATATAGGTTTTGTATTTGTGATATTGTATATAGGTGTGACCTCTTGGTTCCTTTGGAGATCAGCATACCTGACTAAGCTGGGGAGTTGGAGGCTAAGAATGCAGGTTCCCATGGATTGGACCAAGGCTCTCCTGTTTGGAAGGGATGTCTCAAGATTTGACTGAGGAAATGTCATTTATTCTGACTTTATTGGAGTTAGACTTTTTTTTATTGAGCAAGATGAAACATATACATATCTTTAGAGAAAAAAATTATAGCATATAGAAAAGAGATGTGATAATTGCACGAATAATGTTGTAAATGATGTGCAAATTTCATGCTTAATGCTCAATATTTGTATAAGCATTGTTGTCATTTTCCTCTTGATTTCACTGCCGTACAATGTGTAGCTTAACCTTATGCTTGTACTGTGTATTATGATGAATGATTGAAATCAAAGATTCAGAATTTTGATTTTTCACCAAAATGGTACACAGAGAAAATTCATTGCAGATAGGATGCTCAAATGCAAAGTGTCTCAACACGGAGTATTAGATATCAAAATGTTGTACCAGTTTACAAATGGAATGCGGAAAGTCTTTTTATATTTATAGTCCCATAGAAATATATTTATTGACATATTGTTGACAAGTTTCAAGTAATTTATTATTGTACATGTATTGTGTCTTTAATTGCCATGTCTTGAACTAATTTTTGATTTATTAAATACATGTATATGTTTACAAAATTAGGTTTATATTTAAAATGAATTGGATGCCATTGTGTATGCACATCTTTCTGACTGAAAAATTAAAATGATACTGCAGTATACAATCTTTGTACTTGTAAAAGTAAAAAAAAAATCTACAAATGTGTCTGTCATTTATATCCAATTACCCATATTGTTTCAGTTTTTAGGTTAAGATTGGTATTGGGAAAATAGCACAAGATTATGCATAAAAGTTATACTAATATGAGTTTGGTGATATTTTCATTGTTGAGTAAAGAAATTGGGAGGGGAAGGAGGTATATTTCATTTGCTACAGAGTTGCAGCCCTTTATTACTGTTCAGAAGAGAAAGTTAATAATGGAGAACAATCAATATCGATATCCTGGTCATCTTTTGCCCCTGAAGGCATTTAAATAATCTTTATTATCAAGCATTCTTCTTTTAATTTTTTCTGTGTACTGCATGTTTTAAAATTATGGTTGATGCTCAATTTAGCTTAGCATCATTTATTGTAATGACATCATCTAGGTCATGCCCCTTTATCAGTTATTGACTACATAGGAGAGTTGCCAGCTACAACAATCCTTGAAATTTCAAAGTATGACAAAAAAGTTGTAAATACATGAACTGTACTTGAGAATGACTCCTCTTACACTGTACTTCTTTCAAAAATCTCAGAGGCAGTGGCCCTTATCACAAAAAATCTTAAAATAAGATAAAAAAAAAATCAACCCTGTAAATTTTTGTTTAATTATAGAGATATTCGTTTTTGTTTTTAAATATCATTTACAATGTTGTCAAAATTTAAATGAAAATAAGAGGTTTGGGGATCTTTTACAGCATATGTACTTTCTAACAAATAGGAAATTTTTTGTCTTAGTCATAAGATTTTTTGTTAAAAGGGCCACAGAAAAATGCAAACTTGATCAGTATCTCATTAGGGTTGATTCACAATCCAAAAATCAGTTCAATATCTGCAAGTGTTGAGCAACCCAAGTATGACAGACTGGCAGACAAGCAGAAAAACAGACTGACTCCAGACACAGATGAGGACGAAACGTACAGTTTCCCCTGATTTCACTGTAATAATTACTCCTATATTCCCTTTTTTCATTGCAGGTGATGAAGAAATAAACAGTATAAATTGATAATCATCTTTTATTTTTCCCCATTCTTTTTCCTCCTTTCATTGCTTTTCCTTTCTTTCCTTTCATCTTATTTGACTTTTTCTCTTTAACATTGTCCTTTTTCATTCGGGGATCCACTACTCTAAATGGCCCCTGCACCCCATGAGGGCGCCTCACTCTCTTTCCAGTTCCCTTTTTAGCCACCACATATGTTATTTCTTTCTTCTTCTTTGATAGTAATCCAGCTTTCTTGTAAATTCTGGAAAAGTGAATTAATAAACCGTTACGTAAATATAAGTGTTTTATTAAAAAAAAAGAAATGTGCTATACAGAAACAGTTTGCATGGATACGAACTCTAGAAAGTAGAACGTTTCAGGGACTGTAATTTGTTTGAGAGCCAAATACTATGCTGCTTCAAATTAAATAATTTTTATCAATCAACTTATTATCATTTTCTCGAACAAGAACAAAAATAATTCTGTCAAAAATGGCTCAATTGAACCCGAACCATAACTTGACCTAGATATTCATTTGATAATTTAAATCTGTACACATAATTTCATTTCAGTATGTGCAACCACTGCAAAGAAAATGAACCGAAACTGCAAATTATTGGAATTTTTCTAAGTCCAAGGGGCATAACTCTGTCAAAAATGGCTCGTTCACAGAACTTGACTTAGATATTCTCATGATAAATCTACATGTATATACCAAAATCCATTTTAGTATGTGCAAACACTGCATAGAAAATGAATGGAAACTTGGTGGACTGACAGACAGCAGCAAAGCAATATGCCCTCCCTTCTTCGAAGGGGGGCATAAAAAGTAAATATACATGTACATGTACTTACCCAGTATCTATATTCTTTTTTAAAATTACCCAGACAAACCCTGAGACAAACTGAATCTTTGATTGGACTGTAAAATTAATTTTTTTAGAATAGACCCCTACTGTTTAATCTGCATCCATTTATCTCTATCAGCAATGTCAGATGTATCGGAGATAGCCTCAGCCTTCTTTCGTACTCTCTCCAACTTCTTCACTTCCTGAAATCAACAAGAAACAAAATCAAAATACATATAATAACCAATATAAAGCTTCATTTCATTAAAAACCTTATCTTATTTCTTTTTTTCCAGTTTGAGACTTCTCTTAAACAATCCCATTTACCCAAAAATGAGTCTTACCTTTCGTTTCTTTCTGGCTTTAGCCTCTGCAATCTTTTTTATTGGCCTTGCATTGAGTGCCTTCATTTTCATTTTATATTCTTCAATCTCTCCCTGTATAATGACACATGTCCAGAGTATATGTACTAAATACATGTTAAATGTACATACTGTAACAATCCCAATGAGAGACTGCATATTGAATATCGGTTATTTATTCTACCTTTGAGACAGGGAGTTGAATTCTACAATGCTTAGTTTCATCTTGTACAAACCAGTCAGGAAGGCTGTCATCATTAAACATGTACCTGTAGAAAATTAATCCTATATTCATTTCATATTATATATCAGTGCTAAATGTACCATAATAGAGACAAAAAGAGGGAGACTTGAACATATAGGTGGCAAAAGGACAAAACTTTTGAATACTGCAAGTTTACCTGTGGTAGCCCCCTTCTATGATTTCCCTCTTTCTCTTTCTGGATTGGATGATCTGGGATCCAATAGCCATACCAACTGCATCTAGTCTGGGAAGACTTTCATCTAGAAAATCCATCAGAACTCAATAGCCAGATTATTCAACACTTGTAAAGTAGAACATTTTACAATTATTAAGTTCATTCATTTCCATACATCTAAAATTTTATTTGATACATTCAACATCTGAAGAAAAAATGTATGTGTATATGAAGGCTGAAAGGAGAAAAATGTTTTGTTTTTTTCTCTAGCTAAAGAATCAAAACAGGTTGAGAGGATTTCACTAAAATTGGAAAGGATGATCCTGACCTAATTATTCAGAGCAATCAATATATAAAGTGGTTTATACAGTATATTCCTTTCTGAATCAGTACCTCTGCCTGATGTCTACTATTCAGTGTGGAGATATCCAATATAATTAAGAAATAATCAAATCAATCTTATTCATAACATACAGATACTATTAGAAGGAATATTTTTTCCCATGTTTTTTTTAGAGTTATGAACTAGATCAACTGCTACGAAGGAATACAATGGAAAGTCTGAACAATATTGTGGACCTAAAGTAATGGACTAAAGTTGAATAGTTTTGGAAAACACACCTTGTGGAACAACTTCAAATCCTCCTTTCTTTGAGGGTTTGTCATTTTGAATTTTCTGTTTATTTTTTATTTCATTGATGTCATAATCACTGTCTGATGAATCATCATCTTCTTCGTCATCATCATCATTGTCGTCATCATCACTTGAAATATCAGGAGCTAATTTTGTGTTGGTATCACTGTCGGAATCAAAACTCTGCTCTGACAATCCACTGTCAACATCATCTGCAAAAGAGTGATATGAATATGTAATATACACAGTTAAAAAAAAAAAAACCTTCTTGCAAAGTTCCAGGGATGAACAATTTTGATTTGTTATAAACGTGATTGATTCTGATCATTACATACACAATAAACTTTCAAATCAAGAGGAATGAAAATAAGTCTAAGCATGAATTCATTTAAACAAGTTTGCTATAATCATGCTATACAAAATTAAAATATTTAAAGCAGTAGGTGAGTTTAGAATCTGACCTTGGTTGTGGACTATGAAATCATATTATATCTTTGATATCGAGTTAATGTACCGTATAAGTGGAAATTTTAGCAGACGCAAATTTTGCGATTTCTCCATAAAAATTGGTTATTAATTTTTAGCGAGAGTTAATTCTAGCGATTTTAAAATGCTGACTAAAGAAGCTATTTCAAATAAAATGCATTTAATATTTAGCGATATTAAATTTTTAGCGATCTCTGGACCCTCACTAAAAATACCAAAATTAAATCCTCACTAAAAATTCTACTTATACGGTACTTTACTCAAGATGAATTGCCCTTGAATCATTAGAAACAAACACATTTAATTCATGGCTTTGTTTCAATTATTCAACAGCAGTGCCTTTTACTGGAAAAAAAACATAAATATAAAACTGACCAACAATTTTCCCTCCTTTTTTCTTGTAGTTGGCAGCCATTGTTTGAATCTCCATATCTTCATCCTCATCATCTTCTATACCAGCAAATGAAGCCTGCCGAGAAAATATAAAACTCATCATCTTCTATACCAGCAAATGATGCCTGCAGAGAAAATATAAAACTCATCATCTTCTATACCAGCAAATGATGCCTGCCGAGAAAATATAAAACTCATCATCTTCTATACCAGCAAATGATGCCTGCAGAGAAAATATAAAACTCAT